CCTGCAACTTTACCTTAAAACTTTACCATGGACGAGATTCGCGTTGCTGCGGCCAGCAGCCACAAGATAGCATCGGACCTATTGTACCAGAATGCAGCCAGCCCAGAGTCAAATGCTTATGCAGAATATGTATCCTCCCATCTCCAGGATCCCGTCTTTCAAACCCCGAGCCTGGCAAACTGCTCCTCGGTGACAGTCATGAAAGACCTCGCCGTTACTTACGCGCTCACAGCGCTGTCTGCTGCCATATTCACGCTCTATGTCAGCAGACATACTTTTAAATCCCAGCTCCCTCTGTGGCTCAGGCCATTTGCCCAAGAACAGGCCCCCGATGGCCTCAAACGCAAATTCTGGTCCAGCTGGACGTATCCCCTAGTTGTCATCGGCGTTGCTGGACTGGTCCTCTCTTTGGTTCCCGTCATCATCCACCCTTCCTGCTATGACTATCTCTGGGAAATGGCCCCATGGGCTTTTGCCCTCCTCATCACCATCATAGAACGTCCGACAAAGACACCTCGGCTGCTGTTGATCCAGTATGTCTCTATCCTCGGCGCCAGCACATCTATCTACGCCATCCGCTTCCTAGACCGCACTCTCATTGCCATCGACTCCTTTCGACTTGCCAGAATGGCACTCTGTCTCGTATCCATCCTCGTCATCGGCTTCATGCCCATCCGCGAGCCGTCATGGGGCAGCGAGGACATTGGCCAGCCCGGCATCCAACCCTCGCACAACCTCCGCAGCCCCGAAGACGATCTCTGCCTCTTCAGCTTCTGGAGCATGAGCTGGGTTAACCCCTTGGCCAACGCATCTCGCAAACGAGAAATCACCGAAGAAGACGTCTGGCAGCTGCCCTTTGAGTTTCAGCACACGCGGCTGTACATGGCCTTTCGAGAGCTCAAGGGCAAACTCCTCCTCTGTCTGATCGAAGCTAACGGCTTGGATCTGTCAATCGCCACGTCGCTTGCTGTTGCCGAGAGGGTTGCTGAGGTGTCCAACATTCGTCTGACCAGCAAGCTTTATGGCGCTCTGGATTCGAGCAACCCCGTTGATGCAACTTTTTGGTGTGGCGTGATGCTGCTTCTTGATGTGTTTCGCCAGTTGTGCAAGACGACGTCTGGTTGGTATTCTCGCAAATCGTATGAACGGTCTCGCGGAGAAGCTTTTATCGCTCTTTTTGGCAAACTCCTGACGCGGGCTGTTCCCGGCTCTGATGTTACTGAAAAAGGACCCGATGACGAACTCCCACAAGCTTCTAATGGAAAATCACAAACCTTTTTCGGAAGAATGTTTGGCAAATCGTCTTCTTCGAAACAGAAGCTTTTAACTGCCTCTGCTCCGGCTTCCAATGCCAAGGTCGTCAACCTAGTTCGAGGCGACACATACGAAATCTCCCAGCGATTCTGGGACTTTTCCAAGTTCGTCTCCCAGCCCATCAAGGTCATCGTCACCATGTACTACCTCATCGACATCATGGGCTGGCCCTCCGCCATTGGCTTTGCCCTCATGATTGTCTTCCTCGCCATCAACTCGGCGCTTGTTCGCAAGCTGATCAAACTCGAACGCCAACGAACTGCCTTTTCCGACAAGCGCGCGCAGGCAGTCTCTCACTTTGTCGAGGCCAGTCGCCCGTTGAAGCTTAATGGCTGGACGTCCTCGTGGAGTGCTAGAATCATGAAATTCCGAGCACTGGAAATGGCTAAGCGTCTGAATATTGCTCATGTTACTGCTGGTATATCCACCGTGAGCGTGACTGGAGGGACTTCCTATCCACTTGCCAGTATCGCCCTGTACACCCTCATTCTGAAACAGGGTCTGCCAAACGACGTCATCTGGCCCTCGCTCCAACTCTTCTCTCAGCTGGAAATGAGTGTCAAGGAAGCATTCGATCTCATCTCTGCGTACTGGAAATCAACCATCCCCATCGAACGTGTAAACAAGTATATGAGCGAGCCCGACAGAGACGACATCTCCAACAGCCCCAGCAACGCCACAGACATTGAATTCCGCGACGCTTGCTTCTCCTGGCCTTCAACCGAAAAACTCATTCTCAGAGATCTCAATCTGAAATTCAGCAAGGGCCTTACCGTCATCCGAGGCAAAGTCGGTTCCGGCAAATCCAGCCTCCTTCTCGCCGCCCTCAACGAAATGGAACTTCACGAAGGCGACCTCATCCGACCCGACGTCCCAGTAGCATACTGCCAGCAACTCCCATGGCTACAGAACAAGACCATTCGAGAAAACATCATCTTTCACCAGTCCTTTGACGCTGCTAGATACCGCCAGGTCCTTCACGCATGTGCCCTTTTGCCCGATCTTGCCTCGCTACCTGATGGGGACCAGACAAAGCTCGAAGAAGGCGGCATCGGACTCTCTGGTGGCCAAAAGGCTCGCGTGGCCCTTGCTCGAGCTGTGTATAGCCACTGCAAGATTCTTCTCCTGGACGACCCGCTTGCTGCTTTGGACCACGATACCGCCTCTGCCATTGTTCGCCGCTTTCTTCAGGGCTCCCTCGCACAAGGCCGCACGATTGTCATGGTCACGCACAGAGACGATCTTGTCCTCCGCATTGCCGACCAGGTGATTGACTTGAATGACGGCGAAGCAACTGTCCTTTCGACCCAGGAAATCAAAGATGAACTTGAGCACCCGTATCACGAATCCGGAAAGACGACCCACGACGACACCGAGGCATCTCATGAAATCCACGCAGAGGACATTGCCGCGCTCAAGGACGCCCCCGAAGAGCCGTCCAAAACAGGAAGCGTATCGCTCAGTGTCTATCTCGAATACATGAAAGCCGGCGGCTGGCACCTCTGGGTCCTCCTCGCCATCGCATACGGCCTGTCTCGCTTCCTCGACATCTCACGAGCCCGACTTCTCGAAGCATGGGGCGCCAACTCCGTCGGCAACGGCATGACAAGCTCCTACTGGGGGCTTCCCAGCCCGGAGACTCGTCCCCAGGCCTGGATCCTGGTACTCTCCAGCCTCTCGGCAGGACAGATCCTGGCGTACGCCGTTGCGCAGCTGCTGCTGGCGAGAATCAGCGTCAAGGCCGCGCAGGGCCTCTTCAAAGCCGCCATCGACAAGGTCAGTCGGGCGACGTTCCGCTACCACGACACGACGCCGACGGGCCAGCTTAAGAACCGCCTCATCGCCGACATGGGCATGGTGGACGGCGGCATCGTCGCGCCGCTGGAGTCGTTCGTCTTCAACCTGATTGCGCTGGTCATGAGCCTCATCGCCATCGCCACACACCAGCCGCTGCTGCTCATCATCCTCGCCGCGGTGGCCGTCGCGTTTGTGTACTTCTTCCGCATCTACGTGCCCGTCTCGCGCTGCCTGCGCCGCATGGAGATGCGCTACCTGACGCCCATCATCGCCAACATCGGCGTCATGCAGGACGGCCTGGTGACGATCCGCGCACTGCGGGTCGAGCAGCGCTTCCAGGACCGCCACCTCGACGCCGTGGACGATTTCCAGAAGCAGGACCACTTCTTCTGGAGCATGGCCTTCTGGCTGGACCTGCGGCTCAGCTTCAGCTCCATCGCCACGCGAACCGCGCTGATCCTGTTCATGGTGTGGCGCCGCATGCCGGCGAGCGCGATTGGTTTCGTCCTGACGCAGACGAGCATCGCCATGGCGGCGGTGCAGCAGCTGTGCGAGCGGTTCGCGCAGTTGCAGCTGGACGCCGTGTCCCTGGAGCGCGTCAACATGCTCAAGGAGATCCCCGAGGAGCCCCAAGGCGACCAGGACCCTCCTGAGGACTGGCCGCGGCCCTGCGACGACGTCAAGTTTGAGCACTTCTCGTTCAAGTACGACGCCCATCTGCCGTCGGTCCTCGACAAGGTCTCCTTCTCCATCCCCGGCGGCTCGACCTGCGCCGTCCTCGGACGGACCGGCTCCGGAAAGTCGACCATCGCCAACGCCCTCCTCATGACGCAGGCGCCAGCCCACGGGACTCTCAAGATTGGCAGCGTCGACGTCGCCCAGATGGACCGAACGGCCCTCCGCAACCGTGTCACTTTCATCCAGCAGGATCCGACGCTCTTCCCCGGCACGCTGCGCGACAACATCGACCCAGCGGGCGACTTCTCCGACGCGGCCTGCTCAAACGCCATCCACCGCGTCCTCGGCGCTTCATGGAGCCTAGACTCGCCTATTGACGCCGCGGGCAAGAATCTCAGCCAGGGCCAGCGGCAGCTCGTGGGGATTGCGCGGGCGGTGCTGCGACGGAGCGGGCTGGTGATTCTGGACGAGGCGACGGCGTCGATTGACCGGATGACGGCGGCGACGGTGCAGCGGATCCTGAGGGCGGAGTTGAAGGAGAGCACGGTGATTACGATTGCGCATAGACTGGAGGCTGTGGAGGATGCGACGTGGTGTTTGAGGTTGGAGGGGGGGAGGGTTGTGGAGTGTGGTCCTGCGGGGGATTTGGGAAGAACTCAGGGGGAAGAGTGAGTGGTGAGGAAAGAAGTATATTGTGTATACTTGTATTACGATTAATGGTTTGTGTATATGGACGATGTGATTTGGTTATACTTGGGAGTAGTATAGATATAGAGTGACAGCGTTGCTCCTAGCGAATTGTTTAGGATTTATGAGAAGATGTGTAGATGAAGAGTGATATCGTTTGACTTGACTGATGGCTGTGATATCTCGCTACAGTATTTCGCTTTTTGATCCATTAATCGCCATGTTGAGATGTCTTGTTAAGAGAGCTGTCCATCCTGGTTTCGTACTGGCCATGTATGACTATAAAGACCGAAAATAGAGAATCCTAACGTCATTGATGTATACTTTTCGGTGTTAAACTGTACTTTGTCATTTTTTTTACTAGACGAGACAGAAATATTAAGAATACAACACGAATTCGATATCGCTGCTTTTAACTGTATTGAGTGGTATTTAGGCCTATAAGTCGCACAGATAACTAATACTGTGATAGAGGATTGGCATATCCTATCATGGCCGGGCTAACATTCCTCTTCATTCCTTGTCTAAACGTCAATCTTGGTCAGTTGTACAAGGATATTGTCAGCATTAAGCTGCTTAACCAACTCCAAAAACTCCTTCTGCTTTCCAAACTGTTCATACTCCTAACACCACAATTAGCAAGCGCAAAAAAAAAAAACATCAAACATCCCGAGTCATAAATTACCTCTTTGCTCTTCCAGCCAATCAAGCCCAGAAACTCAGCCGCATCCTTCTCAATTCCGTTCGCATGGTACGTGGGTATTTTCTCCCCAAGCAGCTGCTCGATCTTCTTCCACGTCTCTTCCGTCCCGCTGGCGGCCTTGCCCTTGATAATCTGCGTGAGGCTCGAGGATAGACAGCTCGTCGATCGGTTTTCGGCCTGGAATAGTTGAGGGTTAGGCGGTGCTGCGACCAATGGCTTGACGATGTTGATGAAGCCCAGGAAGGCGTCTGAGGATGGGTAGAAGCCGTGGAAAGACTCTGCGTTCTCCCACTCTAATTGCACACACAATGTTAGCAGCATGTCCAGCAAATAGAACATCAAATCAAAAATGATATTTGAGCTTACCAAGAGAAAGTACACTTCTGTGTGTGCTTGGATCAACAGCTTGACCATTCTCCTCAAGAAGCGGCCCCCGTAAGAAATTCAAAAGGCCCGGAACTCCCTTGATAGTCGAAAATAGTGTGGGTGTGGCTGCTTGCAGAGTTGCCAGGGTCTCGGGGTCCAGCTTGAACACTGGGAATACGACTTCGGTGAGGGGCATTTTGGCGGTATTGTGATTCGACGAGATATACGATGTAGTTGACTTGTATCTTGGGAGACAATTGTAGCTCGACGGTAAATCTCACGGTGCTGTGTTGGCGAACAAGTGCTAAGAGATTGTATACTTTGCCTCTTTATTTAAAACATATGAAAGCGAGTGACCCATACATACCTATATATGCACAAGTCGGCAAGACTCTCGTGGCCGGCGGATTCCTCCAGACTCCGGATCCAGGATCCACTGGTGTCCGCGTTCCACTTCTTCCCGCGGCGATTGACATTGTACGTCCTATAAGCTGTCAAATCCTAACAGGGATGTCATGTCGGACTCGCTTGTGCTGCACGCAAAACTCCTTCAAGGGCTCTTTCGGCTCGCTTTGGTGTTTGGGTGTCAGAATGGCTCATCTGATGCTACTGTACATGAGGGCCCGTTGATCAACTATCAACTGGACTAAAGTGGTTAGCATACATAAGCCTAAGCCTTGTTGTAACCATACGCTTCTAACCCACCTTATGGCGTTGTAAGTGACCATAACTCTAGTCAACTCATCAACTAGATAGCTTTCATTCTTTTACAATAGTAGCCTAGGAGAATAAGAATGTCAAAGTAATAATGTGATATACCTCATCTCTCTACATTGTACAGATACTGTATCTTTTCTGCGAATACGTAAACTCGTCTACCTTGTTTGCGTTTCCACCCAAGTCTGCAAATGCAGTCATTGCATGCGTCTGCAGGAATACCTACACCCATTCCTACTTCAGGCTCCACTATAACTATAGCCATTTACTGCTTATTCCCTCATACAAGTACCGAATCGAAGCAACCAGATTGAGTTGCCGAACATGCTGTAAGCGTAGGTTAGCATACTGCTCAAGAGGTTACTTACAGCAAGGAGTTGTCCCATTTCTACAGCAATATGATTAGAGACATGATGGACATCGGATAGAACTGCTGAGATCCGGTACATACGGCCATGGTAGAGGTGGAGCAAGTACGTAATCCGCAAGTGCCGGTAATCCTCGTTATGATCCTTCGGCATCTCGCAGGAAATCCGTCTTCGGAGATTACTGTGAATACTTCCGATTCCATCGCTCGGACAAAGATGAGTTGGTGTATTTTCCGCGGTGTTAACGATTTAGTAATGTATCGGTAAGTTCTTGAAGAAATCCCAGGGTAACTCTTAGGGTCTTGAGCTGTCATTCAGTTCCCGCTCACCATTCCACCATTCCACCCTTAGAGCTGGAATACGACAGACTGATCTTGCGTCCCATTTCCAGGGTAGTCAAGATGGCACCTAACAGCTCGAGCAAACGGCTTGAGATAAGCCGGTGGAAACAATTCCCTGCAGCATTGAAGGTGCTCAATACAGCCAATAGAGCAATAGAGTCTTCTGCGCATTGATCTCTTCATCCAAGACTTGGACAGCCCAAGGCCGCCCGTCGATTACATGATTATTTTGCTATCCCCATGCTCGTAATGATAATTTATAAAACGTGTCTCTGAGCAAATATGCGGTGCTATGCAGCCAAACCGTGCCTCTCTAACGCCATGTGGCACATGCCTTCATTTCTATCAGAGTGGCTGTCATTAATCATTCGAGTGTCATCACCCATCATCCCAGTTTTGTGACCAATCCAAGATAGTACAACACTCCAACACACGTTTGTACCCTGGTTCCAATCCTCAGCAGCAGAAGAGAAGAGAAGATCAAAAACGAGGAGAGAAATTTAAACCAGGCTAGCCTCCCTCCAAGATTCTAGCCATACCTTCATCGGACCATATTACAATCAGTTATTCCTTTTCAAGTTCTATCCAAACAACAAACGCTGCACGCATTTTTCTTGTGGCTTATACTTCTTCCGTTTCGACGGCCTCGTAATCGCCTCGGGTTCTTATTCCGGTGATGCTCATAAGAGTAGGCGTCTCGTACATTGCTGTGTAGTCAACTTTACTGCCACCAAGCGATGCCTGTCCTGGTTCCCGCTGACCAAAGATGGGAGCTGAATCACACCAAAAGTCCTTGCAGTTGGTAACGCAGCCCCTGCTGTAGGGATTCTTCTTCTTGCGCTTGTTCTTGGCGGTAGCGGCGCCACGACCGGTAATAGTCTCAATAAAGGGATCGACGCCGAGGAGTTGACTCCACTGCTTGATGAGGCCGCCCTTGTGCTTGTGCCCGTGGCCATGGCTAGCGTGAGCACCACTTGGTGCAGGAGCTGTCACAGACGGATGGTTGGGGTCGAGCGGAGCGCCAGTAGATGTAAAGGCATTGGACAAAGACGTATTGGCGCGGATGCCCGTCATGTTCTCGTACGTAGTCATGGCACGAGCGACTTGAATGAACTGCGTAAAGACAAGCATAGAAACCCATGTAAGCTGAAGTGATGCCCAGATGGCGAGGCAAAGTGTGTAAGGATCTGCGTTTATAACTCGACAAGTATTAGGTCCGAAAAGAAAGCATGAATCCGGGGCTTCAGGGGTGATTTGAGCATAGTCTATAGAGCGAAGTGTCAGCGGGAAGATGTACCCAGGTTGGGAGATGTCCAGTCCTACAATAATATAGCAGCCAGTCATACAGGGGAATTCCGACAGTTAGGGAGATGAGGTAAAAGAAGAAATGGCGGTGGTTGTTGATGCCAACGCAGTTGTTGATCCATGGGCAGTGACTATTAGTTGTTAGCTCGCTTGCTTCTTGACATGAGTACTGGAGCCATCTTACTGGTCATGTTTGGCCACACATCGCTGGCAACGACGGCAGTGCTTGCTTCGAAGCGGCGTTCGAATCATACAGACGACGCAAAAGTTAGCATCATCGTATTTCCAGGACTTGAGAAGGTCGTCAATGACGGCTTTCTGCTCGGCAATGCCATTCATTTTAGGCACAAAGCCTGGGTCGTATCTCATGGAAGCGATATAGAAAAAGGCCGTCGTGCCAAAAGCAGCTCCGAAGGCGAGATTCAAAAGCGTATGCGAAGATCCACCCCACCATCCAATGGTGGACGGCAAAATGACCGTGAGCCAGCTAAAGCCAACCAGGAACAGCGACCCTGCAAAGATTCCAGCCATCCAGGGAGTTTTGTGAAATGATCGCATGTCGGACGGAGCATATTCAAGCACCTGCTTGGCAACATATAAGAGACCGTATGCCGCGCCCACCGCCAGGGGTAGGCCAAAGTATACGGCGCCGTGGGACAGGATCATCAGCGTTATCCAGACCATCAAAAAGGGCCACAAGAACATGAACTTGTTGATGAAAGCCTTCTTGTCCTTTAAGAAGTAGCTCGCACCCGGCCACGGAGGCACGGCGACATGTCCGTCCTGGTCATAGCCGCACTCCCGCAGCGCACGGTGCCAGGCCGGCGTGGTGTTGAGCTCGGTCGCGGTAAGGGCCGGCGTCTTGCCCGTGTCGGTCTTGGCAAAGCGGTCGGCGCCGTACTCAATCATCTTGAGGACGCAGGCGGCATTGCCCTTGACCAGGGCCCAGTGCAGCGGGGTGAAGCCCTGCTCGTCGGTGGCATGGACGTTGGCCCCCCATCGCAAGAAGATGTCCACCAGCTGCGGAAAGCCCTTGTAGGCCGCCCACATGAGCGCCGTGTGGCCGAAGCTGTCGAGGACGTCGACTGGGATGCCTTGATGGAGCAGCAGGACGATGAGCAGCACGTTGCCGTTGAATGTCGAGATGTGGAGGGTGTTGTAGCCCTGGGAATCGGTAATCAGAGGGTCGGCGCCGCGCTGGAGCAGCAGGTTGACGGTGTAGAAGTGGCATCGCTGGGCTGCCCACTGCAAAGGCGTCGCAATGGACTCGCCGCCCTTTCTGTTGAGCTCGGCGCCGTGCTCGATGAGAAATGCGCACATGGCATACTGGTTGTTGATGGCAGCCCACTGGAATACGTCAGTTATAGCTCTGGATTTGGATGTGTTATATCTTGATCGCAAGCATTGGCCATAGCTTGACTACAGCTGTAGGACTGCACTCACATGTAGCGGCGTGATGCCCTCGCCGTCGGTGTATGTGGCGTCGAACTCGCCCGACTCAAACAGCTTCTCCATGCCCGGAATGTCGCCAATGCGGGCCAGCTGCATGATGTCGTTCTCGGGCGCGGCCTCGTCCGCCGGCAGGCTGCCCATCTCCATCTCGCTGTTGAGCTTCGGCACGGCGGCTGCGGACTTGGACGACGGTTGCATTCGCAAAGGCGCGACCGCAGCGGTGGTGGATGAGGCGGCCGAAGAGTTCCTTGCGCGGGCTGGCGGCTTGTTACTACCCATGTAACGGCAATAACCAAAGAATCGAGAAGAGTTGCAAAGACGAGGAAGCGAGAGATGAAGAAACGAGAGAGTCGAGCCGAGCCGATCTGCACAGCCGCTGTTAGGCTCAAGGGCTGAGCCCGTCCGTACCTTGATTACGGATACGCAAAGAGGCCCTTTCGGCTGCAGAAGCGACAGAGGGAACAAAAAGACTAAACGGCCAGGGGCGGGCTCTCTCGGATTTGGCGGCTCGTTAGGCAAGGAAGATGACGAGACGGATCTAGAGATCGACGAGGGTGAGACTTGGTGGAGAGAGAAACGACGGGATCCAGATCAGAGACAAGATGCGATATCGATAACGGCCGCCGTATTACGCGATGCTAGTGGAGGGACTGAAGATGGCGCAGCACAGCCATGAAGTCGCTGAGATTTTAGTAAAAAGACAAAGAGTACGATGACTTGGAGTCAAAGAGAATAGATGGAAGAAATTAAGAAATTAAGAAAAAGCAAAGAGTGATACTTACAAGGGAGGGGCGAGAATTTGGCAGCAGGAAGGATCAATCGTTTGGGGCACAGCAAACGCATCCATGGATCAACTACTACCTATACAAGCATGCAATTGCCTGAAGGTGACGATCCAGGGGTTGAAATTGGGAGATTAGCGCTCCGTCACTAGGCCGTTTTAGTGGCTAGAGGCCTGGAGGGAGCCCATGCAGCGCTTAGCAATCTAGAGATGAACTAGATGAACACGATTTGGATGCTGTGGTGTATGGGATTCTAAGACTGGATTGCCCTGTATAGATGCGGTGCTGGTCCTATATATACGTACCCATGCATATACGCAATTGTGTATCTCCCATCTGTTCGAGTCTCGTCGCTAGTATTTGCTTTCCAAGACATTTCAGCTGAATGCCCTATCCATGCCAGCTGAAGACAAGGTCAATATCATAGCTGAGCACATGAGATGCCAGCCAGCAATTATAACAGCGTTCTGGTCGGAAATGGAGGGTATTTCTAATCATTGAGATTCTAAATGTTAAATGAAGAAAAACAATCAGAATGGAATGAAAGAAAACAATTAGAATGAAAGGAATTAATTCAGGTACTTCCACAACTTGCATCATCTCCTTCACCTGCGTCAAAGCCACACCGAGCTTTCTCCATCACCAACTGTGGCGCAACCTCTCCATCGCCGCCACAGCTGCCCCCACCAAAAATTACCCTTGGGGACAACTTACAGGCCCCCAAACTTGACAGAATCGTCTATATCGCATCTCGTCCGACTCGGCATCTCCAACATCCGCGCGCACTTCCATCGTTCGACGAGGACGGGGGGCCCAATTCCCTGCATCGACAATCGTCCGTTGGATCCATCAGGCCACATCGTCTCATCGCGACAGGGGCTGCTGAATTTGCTGGCAGCTCTGCGAGGTGGTTCAGTTCAAATAGCTAGCACTTCATCCAGCAGCTCGTCCCTCATCAAGACGACGAACAACCAGAAATCCGCCCACCATGGCTACCTTTACCGAAATCGTCGAGACGATCATGACGCCGTCCATCCCCCTCGTCATCATCGGCATCATCATCATCCTCGGCGGCCCCCTCATCTTCCACCTCGTCCTCGCCTCCTCTTCATCATACACCGTCCCGCCCAGCGTCCTCCTCCTGGGCCCCGACAACTCGGGCAAAACCTCCCTCATGACCCTCTTCGAGCGCGGCGCAAATCCTTCCAAGACGCACACCTCGCAAATCGCGCACTCGATCGAGCTCAACGCCTCCACCGACTCTGCCACCAAGGCCTCGTTCCGCAACTACGAAGATGCCACGGGCACGCACACAAAGTTTCTCCTGGTTGATACCCCCGGCCACGGAAAGCTTCGCAACGTGTCCATGGGCAAATTGGCTCGCACGGAGAAAGTAAAGGCTGTTGTCTTCATGGTTGACGCGGCCGCTCTGGGCGAACAGGAGACACTCGCGCCCACGGCTGCCTATCTTTACGACGTGCTGCTGTTTCTGCAAAAGAGGGCTTCTTCCAAGGGCAAGGACAAGATTTCTATCCCGGTGCTCATTGCGGCCAACAAGATGGACTTGTTCACTGCCTTGCCTGCGACCATGGTCAAGAGCCACTTGGAGACGGAGCTGTCCCGAATTCGCGCCTCCAAAAGCAAGGGCCTGCTCGATTCGGGTGTTGGAATCGACGATATTGGCTCAGAGGAGCAGGATGGCTGGTTGGGAGAGTACGGATCCGAGAAGTTTACTTTCCAGCAGATGAACGAGTTTGACATTGATATCGACGTGCTGGCTGGCAGCGTCTTGACGGAAGAGCCTGGCGCTGATAAGTGGTGGTGGTGGATCGCCCAGAGGGTAGTCGGATGAAGTGGCACGTGTATTGATGGGATTATAGACTTTACTGGGTCATGTATGAATACTTATGGCATCTGGATTTATGAATGTTTTAATGATGGGGGAAATGGGAGAGAGAATGCAGGCAAAAAGTAATGATAATCAGACATTTCCATTCACATTTATATAAATCATGTACATAACGACTTTTAATGAATTTCCATTCATGGACACATGAAGATGCCCTAGATGTTGAGTCTATCAGGCCCACGCAAAGTAGTTGATCTATCCTTATCCCTTGCAGTCCGCAAACAACACGCTGCTGTTTTCAAAACCTCGTAATCCAAAATGATAAAGAACGCCAAATATGAAACAAAAGAAAACAAAAACAGCCTGGATCTCAGATTATATATAAAAGATGAAATTATTTCTTCTGGCTGATCATCCAGGTGAGCAAGTCAACCTTGGTAACGACAGCAATGGGCTTGGACAGAGACTGAGAATCGCCTTTGCCGTCGGTCACAACAGCAGCGCTGTTCCACTCAAAGAACTTGCTGAGGGTGGACAGGGGAGTCTCCATGGTGATCTCGACAAACTTGCGCTTGCTACCGGCCTTGGTTCCGCTGGTCAGCTTGCGCGGGTCGGTGACAATCTCATCGAGTCTGCCAAAGTCGAACATGACGTCCTTGACCTGGGTCTCGGCCGTGGCGCGTCCGCGAGAGATGTAGCTGAGAAGGTTGCCAAGAGTGACGAGGCCGACCAGCTTGCTGGTAGCGGACAGGACGGGCAGCTGATCGAAGCCCTTGTCTCGCATGGTCTCGATAGCCTCTGAGCATGAGGCAGTGTCCGCAACTGAAGTCACTGGCTTCAGGCGGAGAGAAGCAATGGTGGCGCCCTGGTAGGGGTCGGAAGTCGTGTTGTTGCCCTGGGGCGCGGACTCGATTCCGTTGACGGACAGCAGTCCGTTGGCAGACAGCCAGTCATCGTCGGCAAACTTGGAGAGGTAGCTGCGGATGCTGTCGGGGAGAACAACCACGACGGTGTCGCCCTTCTTGAAGCCGTACTCCTTGACGGCCAGCAGCATGGCAGCCATGGCGGAGCCGGAGCTACCGCCGACAAGCAGGCCCTCCTCGGCAATCAGGCGTCGTGCGAGCCAGAAAGACTTTTGGTCGTCGGTCTTGTACCACTTGTCGACAATCTCGCGGTCCAAGACGTCGGGGATGAAGTCATAGCCAATGCCCTCGACCTTGTATCCCTCATTCATGTGCTCCTCGTTGAGGGACTCGGGCAGAGCCAGGATACTGCCGTGGGGATCGGCAGCGATAATCTTGATGTCCTTGTTGTGCTTCTTCAAACCCTTAGCAATACCGGTAATGGTACCACCAGTTCCAGCACCAGCAATGACGGCAGTCACCTTGCCGCCGGTCTGCTCCCAAATCTCCTCAGCGGTGCCAAACTCGTGGGCATCGGGGTTGGCCGGGTTGCTGTACTGGTCGAGAATGTGTGCGTTCGGGATCTCCTTCTCGAGACGGCGGGCAACGCCAATGTGCGACTCGGGGGCGTCCCAGGCGGCCTGGGTGGGTGTACGGATGATGGTAGCGCCGAGGGCACGCAGCACAGAGACCTTTTCGGCGGACATTTTCTCGGGCAAGGTGATGATGGTCTTGTAGCCCTTGATGGCGCCGACCAGAGCGAGACCAATGCCACTGCAAAGACGAGGTTAGTATCTGGTTGATAGGCATGAGATGATTCTGCTGGGCTGGACATACGTGTTTCCACTGGTGGGCTCGATCAATGTGTCGCCAGGCTTGATTCGGCCGCTCTTCTCGGCCTCCTCAATCATCCGCAGGGCAATTCTGTCCTTGACACTGCCGCCAGCATTGAAAAGCTCCGTCTTGGCGTAGACCTCGCACTCAATGCCCAGGCTCTGAGGGATCTTGTTGAGCCTCACAAGTGGCGTGTTGCCGATCAGATCAGCCGCTGAGTTGACGGTAGGGGCATTGCGCCGGATTTGGGGGATCTGGGAGTCGGCCATGATGATTTGCGGGTAGTTGCGAGAGAGAGTCAAAAAGAAGGTAATCTCGCCGGGTATCGTGTGATAGGCGGTGGTGGAGATGAGGAGTTGGAAGCAAGGGGCGAAGTCGTTTTTTTTATTCTTTTTCTTCGCTCTGCCGGCGATATGCGCTTGTCACATGGAGGGGTCTTTTTTAGACTAGAAAGCTTAATTGGGAGTGGCGGGGGCTTCCGCAAAAACTAGTTTGTCCGGGTGTAAATCTCCGTCGATGATTTGGAGAACAGAGAGCGCTGCATTTCATGCAAGAATTGGAGGATGATGGGAGCATTTGGTCTTTATTTCAGATTTTTATATCGACTTTACGGGCCAATATCAAACTCCGTGTCAGCTTCATTGTGCTATTCTGTTGTGTAAATGATGCGATGCCATGCTTCATAGCAGTGGCAATTGCTGTGTGGCGTGCTTACAGTCCAAATTAGGGAATTTCCTGGACCGGCCGTGAGGAAGACGCTAAGCCTGATCGCCAACCGCATGTCAACCGTATGGTTCTTCTATGCTCAGATAACTAAATGGAGTTTCTTGAAAAACAATATCCTTTATCAGCAATCAGCTATCTACACTTTGAATAGAGTAATTTCGTTTGATTGAAGACTTTGCCCTCGTAACTCGGCTGCCAGAAGCAAGGACGCGTCATTTGGCCTATTCAGAATGCCAAGCTCCATGGCTAGGGACTTTTGATACGGCTTTGCCACTAACACGGAGCATATTGCCCTCTGAGAGCACATGATGCTACCCTAATCTTCTCGCATCTTCATAACCCAAAGTTGTCTGCTAAACATGGGAAATGTCCATGCGGGCGCCAATGGGCTCAGCTATTCGTTGCGTCAGCAGCCTCCGCCGAGGCGTGAGGGCTACTTGGACTTGCGCTTTCTGTTGCCAAGACGATAAGGTGTTGAGATTGCCTCTGGCAGCTTCCTCTTGAAGAATCGGCAAAGCAACCTTAATTTGATAAATACCAGGGCTTTATTGCAAATCAAGTCTTGGCTAGCAGGGGCGGCCCATTGGCGGGCAGCTGTGAACCGAGACAGCTCTTCTTTACAAGTAGTGCCTAGCAATATTTAAACTCCTCTGTCAGGGCATTATCAACAAACACATTATACGACATCCCCAGCTATCAACAATACTATATTTCTTCTGCTATAGGATTTTGCCATACTCTGCGATCTCAGGTATCACTGAGCTCACAAAGGCCCTGCACCATGAAGTTTTGGAATATTGCGGTCTGGCTCGGCTTCTTTGCCACAGCTGCCGTCGCTTCGGTCTTCCTTTCACCAGACGTGGTTGAAGGAGATATTGAGGAGAACCAGTAACACTAGTCCATGCCATGCTCCCTTTCATATCCATAAACGCGTGCTGACTGGCCTGCGCCACGCAGTCTGAAAGGTCTACTCTGGGGGTTGAACCACATTGCTCATTCAAACGGCGGAAACCGCGCCTTTGGGACTGCCGGCTACAACGAATCAGTCGACTTCATCCTGAATATTATGCAGAAACGCTTCGGCAATGCGTTTGACACTTGGGTCCAGCCTTTTTTCCATCCTTTCGAAACCACTCATGCCATCTCCGTCACAGGACCCGAGGATGAAGACGTGTTTGTAATCAGCCTTCAGTACAATACTGCTACGCCGCTGCCTCGCGGTATCAACGCTCTACTCATCGACACACCCGTGGACGATGAGCGGGGGTCTGGCTGTTTCGAGGACCAATGGGACCACATCGATGCCACTGGAAGAATTGCCCTTGTCAAACGCGGCGTGTGTCCGATTTCCGACAAGATCAAGCTTGCCAAGTCGCGTGGTGCGCTGGCCGTCATCCTGTACAACAACGAACCCGGGGAAACCATTATCCCAGCCACTCTAGGCGTTTCAAATGTTGGATTGCTAGTCCCGGCTGGAATCATTACTCTGGAGGATGGCTCGGACTGGAAAGAACGCCTCGCAGATGGCGAAGATCTATTCGTCTCGCTTATTGTCGATTCAGTGAGTGAGTACAGAAAGTCTTGGAACGTCATTGCGGAAACAAGACAGGGCGACCCTGACAATGTCATCATGCTTGGTGCTCATCTCGACTCAGTTCAAGCCGGTCCTGGTGCGTACATGCCCACTTGAGTGACCTCCCACAACGTACAGCTAATTTGTCGTGAACAATGCAGGTGTCAATGACGACGGCAGTGGCACGGCCGCTCTCCTCGAGATTGCCACATCGCTCCTGAAATACGAAGGGATTGTCAACAAAGTACGATTTGCTTGGTGGGGCGCTGAAGAGTAAGTGCATGTCATCATCGTCAAGCAAGTAGACTAGAAGGGTACTGATTCTTGCGCATAATAGAGTCGGTCTGGTTGGCTCTCTCTACTATGGCCAGCATCTCTCCGAAGATGAAGCAGACGCAATCCGCTTTTACTTCAATTACGACATGATTGGCTCCAAGCAGCCCATCTACGCTGTCTATGCTGATTCCGACGCCCACAAGACTGGTGGCCATATTCTCTTCGACTATCTTCAGGCCAAAGGCAAGGATGTTCAATATGGGTGAGTACAGCCTGCCGAGATACTGGCTGAGGTTGAAAGCTAATCGCATCTGAAGCGGGTTCGGCTCATCGTCCGACTATGTCGCCTTTTTGCAGCTTGGCATTCCCTCGTCAGGTATCTTTACCGGAGCAGGAGCACCAGCTGACGAGTGCTACCATCAACCCTGCGATGACCTCGAAAACATAAACTGGGAGGCTCTTACATTGAACACCAAGGCTGCTGGCCGTGCGGCAGCGCAGCTTGCTTTGAGCCTGGACGGTATTCCTCGCCGAGACAAGACTTCTCTCAACCCAAGCAGCAAACGAGGTGTTCAGAGAGAGTTGAACCGAGCTGCCCAACTTGCAACAGTCATTGAAAAGTCTCATAAGTGTGGTGGAGGTCCGGGTGATAACACAGTGTAATGCGTAGGTTTAGGACAATTTGTTGAGGGATGCGATCTCACATGGAGAAGCCAAAGCATTAGTCGTTAGTCATTAGTCATTATGAAATATCACTACGATTATAACCATATGAGATAGCTCGTCATTTCCTTTATGCCAGACACCTCGCTCGAAAACTCTCATGATTCATTTCATTCATCATCATGTCATTACTCTCCCATTTCGCGTTCATGCCTCGACGAGTGAGAGCTTCTGATTATATCTGACTTGCGTGTCAGTTAGCCCTTTATCCAGTGCGCCGAATTTGAGGATTCCTTGGGTTCGATATCGGGATTGCGCGGTAGCTGGGGAACTTGGGTCCCCCGGGTATCCTTTCTGAGACAACCGCCGGAGCTGGCGTTTGAACCGAGACGCTGGCCTTTTTGGTGGACGATTTCTTCTTAGGAGCCGTATAATAGTAAACATCTTCCTCTGCATATTGGTACACGCCGCGGGTACTACTGCGAGTGCTGTGAGAGTTTCTTCGCTTCCTCTTCTTCACTTTCTCCTCCTCTTGATACGCGACGGCAGATTTCCTCTTTCCAACGTAGCAAAAGCCGATGATGAGGGCCAAAACAACGACGCCGACCACAGAGCCCAGTATGGCGCCTATTTGGCCGCCTGAGAGGCCATGGTGGTGGTGCGATATGGGGACGGGCACGGCGGCGACGGCGCTTGTAGTAGCTGCTGGCTCGGTGGCGCCAAAGGTGATTGTTGTGACGAAGGTGGTTGATGGGCGGATGATGGTTTGTGTGAGGACGAGGTCTTGGCGGATGTTGAGGGGGGCTTTTGTTGGAGTGGGAGGGAGATGCATTTTGGGTAAGGAATGTGTATGTGGAATGAACAGGCGCCCTGACAAACTGATCGGACAGCAAATATAAGAAGGATGAAAGAAAAGAATGAGGCGGCCTTTTCTTTTATGAGAATTTTTGGTAAAGTGGAAGGCTGTTGGGCGCATTCCTTTTGGTGGATTACATTAATTTGCATGTTGCTGGATCTTATATTGCACTTACATGCCACCCGTTCTTTGACACCATCTGCTGCGGTTTACGCGTCTGCGCGTACAAGAGCAGGGATAGACGCACGTCAACTCTCAAAGGCATTCGAAAAGGGATACTACTCTACGTACTTGTCATGCACGAACTCTTGTAGAAAAGAAGATCTCTAGCATTTGCACCAATAGAGGTCGAGATGTATTTTGTGAGTCAGATGATGTGGCCATGCGGCCTCGTTAGCGCAGAACATCATCTGGCTGGTGTGCATTTATTTCTTCATCTATCTGGGTTACGCGCAAGGTGGGATTTCCCAAAAATGCCAAAAGGAGGTGAGCTCACGGCTTTGTTTGATGGCAGCTGTCTGACTGGTGGTGTGGTGTGGTATGCGAGGCCACTAGATTGTCGTGCCTATGCATGTGCTAGGCTCTGATGGATGCTGGTGTGGATGAGCGGGGATTGGTGTTGGCCGGAGATGCATGGAGGAAGATGCTAGCAGGGGTGGGATTGGGCATGTGCCTGATTCTAGTCTATGAGATGGAGGCATGGCTGGAGGGGATCTAAGATGGCGGTATTAGCAAGAGAGGGGGGGTTCCTGTGAGACATGTTTCATGCGTATAGCATTGTAAATTGATTTGTGTATATTGGTCTTGATAGCAAACACGGATAGACGGAGGTATTTGGAACTGTGATGAAATGGCGAAGTCGTCACATATATAAGGCGATAGACACATAGATTGGGGGTTAAACCAAGTTCTATTAATCGATCTAGCTAATCGCTGGGCGACGTGACAATTTGTCACCTATCAGTCGCAGTATAACACAGCAGAAAATTATAATTAACGCAACTGCAAAGTATTTATGTCCAAACTTTTCTTTGTAATAAAGGAGTGACTGAATCCAAGTATCGAAACCAAAAACCAAAAACGTAAATGATGAACTTCCCGTAGCCAGGGGTGCCAACGACGAGTCGTAGCTTGTTAAGAATGAAATGAGCTAGCGCCGCTTTCTTGTTAAAACAATAAACAGAATCAATACTCTTCTGATATAGACGATGCAGCGAGCTACTGTTCTGAGAATGTGGTTGACAAGTATAAAGGCGAGGTATCTTCCGATGGCTGGCAATCGATATCAGCTTTGGTCATCAAATGAAGAAAAGAAAGCTCTTGTGCTCACCGAGGCGGATGATTGCTCTTCTCCATATGTGCCGTCGGGCTTCAAGCTCCCATCCCAGTCTCAAAACAGACAGGAGATAATCTTGAGCCTCGTTTCCCCATAATATATGCAATGTGGTACAATTTATACGCTCTAGTAGAAGTGGTTAGTTCAAGCCGTTGTCGCAATATTAAGTAGCTGATGGAATCGCACTCACCATTTTGTGTGCCAAACTTTTCTTCTTTACTCATACACCACCACATCTTTCCCCTGAACACTCTCCTCTCCCCCTCGAACACTCTCCTCTCCCCACCATCCCCACGACTCTTGGTGCGCATTGCACCAAGTCAGTGGGCGTTGCGATCAGCTTCAGGTGCTTTCTCGCCCTCGGCCTCACTCTTGATTACTTCGCGAGTCTTACCCCATTTGAAGTCATCAGAGTTGAAGAGCGAGTAAATCATGATGATGATGTTCACAAAGGGAGAGGTGAGGAAGTGGATGAAGAAACCAACAAAATATTGGATGCGCTCCTTCATATTTCGTGGAAGCCAGAAGCCGACGCAGAATGAGTAGAACTGTTGTCAAATGATTAGTAGCTGGAGAGGTAAATGGAGTGGGATATAGTGATACTTACGTAGCGTGTAAACAAGACCGTGATGAGGGAGATGAAGATTGGATCACGGAACATGTCTTGACCCTTTCGGACGAAAAGCATGACAAGCTCAACCACGGCAGCCATAATGAACGGAGTAATGGCCCAAGTCATGACGGCAATGACGCTTTGAAGTCTCTCCATGATGATGATACCTGGTCGGAAGATCATGACGAATTCGTTGGAGATGCTACCAAGAGCCCAGCGCTTGCGTTGCGACAAGAAGACTTTCCAGTTTTGGGGAACGATGGTGTATGCCTTGGCACGCAGAGCCTGTGCTGTGAGCTTGTCGGGGTGCAGACTGAAGATGATGGACGCGTGGATGCTGTCTTCCGAGTAGTTGCCCATGATGTGTTGAGTCATGATGTCGTTGGGCTTGGGGCAGTAACCAAATCGTTCGCGGAGGACAGCATCGCCAAAGGTGGACTCGTCGACGCGGATGAGTTGACAGCAGCCAGGGAGACAGTTGACCTTGCCGGTGATGCGAGACTGGAACATGCGGCGCAGGCCTTGGGTTTGGGAATATTCAACCGATTGATAGAGAGACCATGGAGAGAACCATTTGCCGTCAAAGTCGACACAGACGTGGCCGCAGACACCGACGAGGTTGGGATCTGTGCGAATCTCGCGGATCATCTCGCGGATGCAGTGCTTGTCAAAGACAGTGTCTGCGTCCATGCCAACGAGGAAGTCAACCGTGTCGACGCCGAATTGAACAAAGCTGTTACCGATGTACTCGTAGAGCTCGTTGTTGAACATGGTGACGATATTCTCCGAGCGCATTTTGAAGTGGTAGAGAAGCGAGCGAGCAAAGCACAGACTATCACGTTTGCCTTGGTTGTAGCTTTTTCCGACAAACACATACGGGATACCCTTGTAGTGGCCAGTTTGGACCTTGACAGGCATGAAGAGGCCATCGCGAGCACGGTAACCATTTTCGAATCGTTTGGTCTGGCCAGGCTCGAGGATATCCTCGATGAGGTAGTCCTGAGTAGTTTTGGTCATGCCGGGGCCGCGGGCGTTACCGTCAACAACGATGAAGATGGCTCGGGGATGGCCATCAATACCCGCCTGTATAACGAGAGAATCCAGAGAGCGAACCAGTTCCGTGTGGGTTTCGTTGTAGCAAGGCAGGAGGAGGACCATTTTCTCAAGTTCTGTGGGGATAATCTCTTTCTTGCCAAACCACCAAGGCATGATGCGTCTGCCAATCCAATTGGCGAGGATGCAAGCCATCATGAACAATTGAAGCGTGGTGTTTGAGCTGAGCAGGATGATGAACAAGTAGTACAGCTGGAAGTAGGCATAAGAGACCCAGATGAGGACACCGTTGATTCCGAGCAGAACAATAATGAGAAGCCACTTTTGGAGACAGAGGAGAGTCTTGGAGACCTTTTTGAGCTCGAAATCAGAGTCCCAGCGGGCCTTGGCTTCTTCCTGGAGGATGGAAGACGTAAAGGAGGCGGAAGAGTCGATGCCGAGAGAGGCCTGAGAGTGAGGGGTCTGGACGCCTGGTTGGAAGCTGCCGTTGATGTTGCGAATAACAGACTAGAGATTGTGGTTAGACGATGATTTGCGGTATTCATTGGGGGGGTTTACTTACAGATTCCCGAGAAGCAGACACGTCCAGTCCGTTTTTGTTGCTGTTGTTGAACAGGGAGACTGGGGGTCTCTTGCCGTGGTCCTCTCTGGTAGGCCGCTGGAGGGCGAGATCCCCCGACTCGGCAGAGGAGCGAGACATTTCCGAAGAAGTCGGAGCAGTCATGGTGATGACGGCCTACTATATTGACAAGTAGACGGTCAATGTGAGCGAGTGAAGAGTAGAAGCGTATCCAATAAAAGATAAGTCGAAGTGATTAAACGAAGGGCAGAAGTGTGCAGTATAGCAGTGTTCTTTCAGATGATATCGAACGAGTGTGTTGATAGCAAGTGGAAGCGAGTGTGGGTGAAGATGGATGGAATAGGATGAAGGATAGTAGCCCTAAGACAGCAACAAAGGAAATTTGAATAACGCTCAAAGTTTGTTTTTTGACGATTTGGCTTCTTAGTCCCTTCTCCACGCCACAGGAATAATACACCCTTGGTTGAGAGGGTGGACTCGATCGTGAGGGTCAACAAAGTTTAATCGAGGGATTTACATGGACGATACTCCGAATTCAAGCCGGCTGTTTGCGAGGCCAGAATCTATTTTTGTTCGCCCAAGAAGTATAAGCGGCCATGGCTTCGTCGATGTGGAAAGCTAAAAAAGTATGATGCTGTATAAAAACGTCGTTTCCCATGGACTACCCAACGTTTGTGCTTTGGCGAATTCTCCTCTAGAACTAATGCCATGATCAAATCCGGCCTTACACAAACGCCCATCTCGTATAAAGAAAGCTATCAACACTAGGTAGACCTTTAGCTACGGTAATACTCTATCAAAAGCCAAGAAGCTTCCAGACTGCTGAGTGGCCACATCTGGAGCTAGATCTAGCTGCGGTCCGTACCGGGGCCGGTGAATACGAAGTAACCCCGAGGCATCAGGATGTACATCCCAAGACCGCTTAAAGAGGCTACAAGGCTTGAGCTAATGCGCCTCGCTTTGCCGCCAAGGCCCTTAGAATTGAGTTTTATGGCATGGGGCGTGATACACGAAATTCGGGCTTCGATGGATATGCATTTGTCCAGCCGGCTGGATGGGGCTTTTAACTTGTCGGTGATCGTCGATCACCGGAGCCGGCAGACACGGACTCGAGACTTTGGTTGCACCCGCTTGCATCTTTAGCTGAGAGACTCAGACAGCATGTTCGTTACGCTCTTTTGCCTATTATTCAGTCCTATCATGTCTACAAATCGTGTCTCTCCCTTCATAGATGCCATTCAATGTACCACTTGAGATCTTGTGAAGCATCTACTGTCCTAATGTGATATCGTGGGCTTGCATATGTCGATACATTGCCTGCTTCCATCTCATGAATTCCATGGTCTTCCATGGCATCTATTAACCCACGTCTAGACTCACAGCTAAAGCAGTATCACCGAGGCTCCCGTCCTCACCTTTCGTATCCACATCCTACTAGAGGCGTGAGCAAAGGGGGGTGAAGTTATGTAGCACCATCCAGGTGAGCAAGCCCAAGGTTTAGGAGCAAAACTCCGGACCTTGCTGTCCCCAGGTTCGGGCCTTCGCAGCAGAAATCTCCATATCTCGTACCCTCACCTCCCCACATGGGCACAACGTAGTTGGCCAGCTGTGCTTGGATATTCCAGTCATCAAACAAGCTTATTTGCAAGGCTTGCAAGTCTTACCGCATCAAGCTTCGTCCTTTGGCGGGTACGACCGGAACAAGCTCTATCCTCCATGCATGGTGACTCCGGAACTCCAGCTACACGATGATGCTAACTCGCCTTTGTGTGACCCTGACCATCATTTTCCCCTCGACTGGCCGGGCTGGGTGGAATTTCCCACTACATGATTCAAACCACTATCGCCCCCTTCGTTAGCACACGGCTTGAAACTACTCATGATGCTACCAGCTGCGTTGTCCTCTGGAATAGCCGCAAGCACAAGTATAAAAGGTTCCTGGTGGACCTGCAGTAGCCTTTACGCTAATATTTGTGGTGTCTCTAATGGGTCCTGGCATCGTAGTCGACGGCACGAATACGAATGGGAGCATCTTCTTTTCCCACTGCAGATGATCGGCGCTTTTGAGGGGAAGAAGAGAATTACAGTTTTTGTCCCCCGATCAGCCACTGCTGTGTTTGTCGCCGATTATATACAGCCGAGAGAATCACGACATTTTACACCAACATTGGATTATTGAAAGCGGCATCGAGTCTGCATTGGGAACACGGATCCTCTGAGAAGTATTCTTATCCGAGGAGCGCCGGGTAAGTAGTAATGTTGTGGGGAGAATGCTGTGGAACATGTTCGATATAGGAGATATTTTGCTCGGCTTTTGATATGGACCTAGTGCTATGTATCTTGGTGGTGTCCGGTCATGCGTGTTCTCAGATTTGACGAAAATTGCGAGCATAATGTCCTATAAATTTCAAGCTATGAAGCAGATAAATGCAATAATCATAAAATTTAGGGATCAAATCACCCCTTTCATCAGTAAATGAATCTCTAAAATGCAAAAATCCCTCCAAATGGTAACACGAACAAGTAACCAGGCCTTATGTTGAATAGAGGCTTGCATCACAGCTCATTGTAGAACCACGCCACCTCTTTTTTGTAAATTGAGAAACTCCTCCTACAGTCCAAAATCCCAATAGCTACATTTTGCTCGCCTCTTGCTGTGCCCTTGAGAGCTTACCAGCAGCTACCATATTTCTTTTGGCATCCCTCCTCGCAGTGAGCGCTTGAATTGCCACTGTATATAGCAGGTCAGTGGAAGTCATCATCATTAGCAAAAATGTAGAGGAGATACTCACCAGAAACCGTACTTGGAGCAGCAGTTTTTGTCTTCGTATTTCTGGCACGTAGCTGAGAATTTATCCCCGCAAAGGCCATTCGTCGTGTCATAGACGGGAAGAACTGCTCTGCGTACTCCCCCATTGATCGAGCAATCTCCATATTCAGAGTCGCATCCAGTTCCGCAGTGCTGCATGCTATTGCCACTGTAGTTTTTGCCACTGTCAGCAGGCCATATATCACAGATACCTGTGTATTGCTATCAAAAATGGTGGCTGGATTTGGGTAAACGCAAAGTAGTACAAGCATGTAAATCGCAATTCAAGCAAAGGGAGGCCATTGTTTTCTTACCAATATCCATAATATGAGCAGCATCTGCCATACTTGGAGCCCTTGCAGGTTGCACCAAAATCGCTACCACATCTCTGGTCTTCTGAGACAGCAGGCTCTTTCTTGTCCTTGTTGTTCTCCGGCCTAACTGTCACATCAACATCACGTTTAGTATTCCGCGCAATGCGGTACCAATTCTCAGATGGGTCACCAAGGCATTCTCCAACAGTCACAAGCTCGTATCCTCGGTTCCTACTGACTTCGATCATGTATTCGGTAAGCGTCACAACTGTCTGATAGTGGACGTCGTGTGCGAGAACGATGTAATCGTGGTTAGTTTCATCAGAGTCCTGTATAGAGGAGAAGCGGTCCTCGGAGACATGGATCAACGAAGGCTCGTCGTTTTCATAGTCCTTGGTGTCCAGGTTCGTGCTGATAACGTGATAGCCAAGCTTGTCCATTGTGTCCATGCATCCAGACTTCACGCTGCACTCTAGAAACGGCGGACGCATATAAGTCGGTATGACGCCAATGAGATTGCGGAATGCCATTTCGTTGTAGATCATTTCCGTTTCTCGAACATGTTCGGAAATCTCGTTGAGATTGCGATGCGTCCAGGTGTGGCTTGCGAGCTGGTGCCCAGCTTCATGCATGCGCCGAATGATGGACGGCCAGCCTGTTGATTCGTCGTCTATATGACCCTTGCCTCTGTTATTTCCTGCAATGAAAAACGTCGCTTTCACATCGTATTTTTCAAGGATGTCAAGGAGTTGACTTGTATATACGTAGGGCCCGTCATCAAATGTCAAGGCAACATGGCCGGACTCGAGGCATCGAGTAATCGTAGAGGCTAAGACCTGGTCAGCTTTGATTTGTATCTGGTTTTCTATAAATCAAGGATAAAGCAACAGTCCAAAGACTAACCATATGGGACATCGCCAATGTGCTCTCGGGGGATGCCTTCGGTGCTCTCTCCCGGAGGGCTAATTCTAAATAGCTTCCGTCAGACTCCGATATTTTACATCAAAAAATTCACATACTGTGTATCGCAGGCGTAGCTATAATCGAGCAGGCATTGCGATCCAGCGCAGTACTGTTTAGAAGTACCACAAAAGCCAGCCTCCGAACAACACTCGCCTTTGCCACAGCTGCCAATATCTGGGCCGCATTCTTTATCACGGGGCTCTAGAACATACTTGATGAGACTGTCGATATCCTCAGGAGCCGCAAAGATGGCCTTGGAGAATATAAAGGCGATCACCGCCGTAGAAGCAACACTGAGCATCTTTTCTTTAATATCGTCGCCACAAGTGTCACTTTAAGGAAAAAGGGGGGAGGACGGAGTCGATATCAAAAGAGGCAATGTATAAATCAAAGTTAGAATATATAGATATCACCATCCTACCCTACATGTATGATATTCAATAGCCAGTGCTCAACGATATCTAAGCTCGCTGGAAACGGATTGTGCTGTGGGTTTGAGGCGGCATTTTTTTGCCGGTGGATAGCATTTTGTGACAGCCTCAAAGTCAACACGCGAGAAATCTCTCTCCATGGCCCACGCAGCGCCGGCAATGCACGCACTCCACCATCTCGCGATAGTCGCCTACACTAGTTTAAGAGACTTGCGTTGGGGAGCCACAACATCACACCATCAACTCGCACCTTGAGCATTCGGGTCGAATCAAATGCTTGCAGAGTTCCGCGTTATTACCTAGTGGTACTGGCTATGACCTTTGTCAACGTGGAATCTGCAGTGTATCGGAACACAGATGGAGAAATAGGATGATTTGGCACAGCGTTGAGATAACCAATTAGTGTTAGGGGATCATCGTTCGTATTATGCGCTGGCTTACGTTACGGCATTAGCTAAATATGCACAAAAAAAAGGTGACAGGAAATTCCCCTGGCTAAAATAACAAATGAGGGCTGGGACCTGGATTGCCTTATCCTTGGCTTTTATGGCGTTGCCTGTACATATTCGCAACATGGATGGCTAGTATATTCACACCCATTGTTGGGTGTCTACCTAAGAAGCTCATCGCCTGAGTAATACGAGAAATTTATGAAATAGCTCTTTGTCATTCTTCCCTCGAGCTGATACTTGGGGCATGAATGCGGTGTTAAGGAGTTCATCATACCGCAGCAATAGCCATGGCATTGCCGCCTCACTTTAGAGTCCAAGCATATGGAGAGTAGTACAGATTATCCCATGGCTCTCTTGTTCTTGACAGTCTCGCGTAGTCTGTTTGCAGATTAAACGAAGCAGATGCGACTTCGGCATTTCTTTTTCTTATACGCCCCCGCCCCCCGGCTTCCGAACTTCACTTTTACGTATAATTTGAATCATATCTAAAGTTTCGGCTCCATATACGGGACCAGCCGAGATCTAAAAGCCAGATATGTGGAGCTATTGTCGATTTGTTTGACGTGGCGTAGAGCCGGCACATATACTCGAGGTACCTTTCCAACTTTTAGTCGCTACAAGGAGATTGTGCGAATCACATATCGTATTGAAGATTCGTAGTACCACGGTGGCTGCCACAAGTCTAAACCCTGTTGCCTAAGTTTTGAGAGTTGACGGTCGTGGGCTGCAGGGGCGATGGAAGATTCCATGTCTGTTTTCGATGTCTGTTTGCTAGCAGCCCTGGAAGATGGTGGCAGATAACACGACCCGATTGTACATTCATCGAGAACTTAATTAACCTTGATGGCATGGACTTGCTTGGATCCAAGCACTCGCCTATGAATCCGTCCCGGTAGACACTTTTATATCTCGTTTACCCAGTCAGATGATCTAGTCCCAGTTTCTCGCTTCTCTACCTAAGTGTAAAATATCGATGGATACTCGACAGGTAGATAACGGGTTGCTGAATCCGGTGTGAATCCGGTATAACTCCTCGTGGGCCCATAAACTATGCCGTTTAGATACACGGCAAATAACATTTACCTTTATTTTACAAGAATCCCAAGCTTTGAAGCCAAAGTTTAGCGCTTCTCTGCATCGTATACAGGCTTTTACTTTCTCGGCCACTACCCCGGTGGCTTTCAGCAGACGTGCCATGTTTATCTGCGTACTATCCTGAAAGCCTTTATTCTTTCTTTGGCCTTGTTAGGTTTTTTTCTTTTCTCTTCCCTCTCAAACAATCCTCTCAGTGTCAGATTCTACAACACCTTGCTAGCAGTCTCGTCTGGATCAAATCTACTCTCCAATCACTGGCTAATCTTAAGACAATACTCTCGCTCACATCTCGCCAATACATTCGCTAAGTTTCTCGTTCACATCCCACCAGCTTACTCGCTCACCCAAAATGTCTGACATGGGTAACACGGGGGGCGTTCCTGCCCCAGAAGAGATCAGTAAACGCCTTGCTGCCATCCAAGAAGAGGATGAAAATCCCAAGTCTTGGGATTATGTTTATGACGCTTCCCCAGTTGGAGGATCAACTTCTGACTCGGGTGCTCGGCCATCGCCATCCCCTGAGATCGCTTCCTCGGTCGAAGTCCTCAGATCTGAGAGGTCTTCCTTTGCTGAGCCACAGCCTCTCGTCGCAGTCATCGGCGTCGGCTACGTTGGCGAGCATCTCACTGATGTTTTCTCTCGCTGCTACAATGTCCTCGGATACGATGTCTCTGAGACTCGTGTCAAGGATCTTTCTGCCAAGTACTCTGGCAACAAGAATGTCCGCATCACTTCAAAGGCGGAAGATATCCGTAACGCTTCGCACTTTCTCATCTCTGTCCCTACACTTCTCCAAGCGGACAAGACTGTCGACACTTCGTACCTTCAAAGTGCCCTCGCCACTGTGGAGGAGCAGGCAGCCCCAGGCTCGACCGTCGTGATTGAGAGCTCAGTCGCCGTTGGCATGACTAGAGAGCTTCTCGGACCCCTAGCCAGAAGGAAGTGCCTCTTTGCTGGAATGTCGCCAGAACGTGTTGACCCGGGCCGCACTGAGCCGCCAGCCTATGCTATCCCCAAGATCATCTCTGGCCTCGACGATGTTACTCCAGACTCGCTGTATGCCATCAACAAGCTTTACTCTGCCGCCTTTGAAAAGGTCGTCCCTGTCTCCAAGCCGGAAGTGGCTGAGATGACCAAGCTCTACGAAAACTGCCAGCGCATGATGGGCATTGCTTTCGCCAACGAGATGGCCAACGCCTGTATCCCCATCGGCATTGACCCCTATGAAGTCAGCAATGCTGCTGCAACCAAGCCGTTTGGCTACATGCCCTACTCGCCGGGCCTTGGTGTTGGCGGCCACTGCATTCCCGTCAACCCCTACTACTTGCTGTCCAACAGCGCCTTTCCTCTGCTTCAAGCGGCTTCGGAGAAAATGTACGCTCGCCCTGCAGAGATTGGAGAGCGTATCATCGACGAGCTTTACTCGAAGCGAGCTGGCGAGGACATGCCTCGTGTTCTCGTCGTCGGCATGGGATTCAAGCGCGGCCAGTCTCACCTTGTCAACTCGCCTGGCCTTGAACTGGTCGAATCTCTTGCCAAGTGGGAGAAAGTCACCGTTTCTTTCGCTGATCCGCTCGTCAGCCAACAGGCTTTGCCCAATCTCACACGCCTGGATGACGCAAACTGGACTGCCGAGTACTTAGAGGAGAATTTCGACATGATCGTTGTCGCTTTCAAGCAGGATGGTCTTGACTTTGACGTCCTCAACAAGCTCGCCACCGTGCAAGTCCAAATGTGGTGCACTTAGAACAACGATTGCATCCGGCAAGCGCATGAAAGCGCGGAGTACGGGCGTTTAATGGCAAGACCCCGGCTCTTCTTTATTGACAACAATCTCTCTTTGTGGAGTGACTGAGATCGATATCGAGACGGCTATACTTGTCTCACCATCGATTGATGCAGGCTAAAATTCACTCTTCACCAGTTGGGAATCGATGGGTGAGATAGAATGTTGCTATTCTTTTATTATATTCGTGTGTTGCGAGGTGGTACTTTAAAATTGGTTTTACTTGGACTGTGTATTTTGATCACAAATGTTCGCGATAGGTTATTTTTGTCAATCTTGATTCTTCTCCTGAGGCTCATCACCATCGCATAGGAGTGTGATGCGGCCTCTGTACACGAGCAGGAGGGGAGGGGAATCAACGCGTTGGCATGATGCATTCAATCATAGCCTGGGCCGCATTGATATGTAGATATATTTTTCTACAATATAACCTTCATTAATATTTGATTGAGAAAGTTCATTAGCTCTTCCATTCCTCTTACCTCTTGCCTTCTATTGCTCTCTCGTCGCCCGTAGCCAATAACGGGAGCATTCCATTCTCCAAAATTTCTTCTCCTTATCGGACGGGTAACATCTCCAAGAGTCCAAATCGGCCTATTCCACTTATGGAGTTGGGCGAGCCCCTCATTGGCGCAACTTTAATCTTGGGCTGAATGCTTTGTTTCGCCGCGTTGGGAAACTACCTACTTGCGGTGGACCAGAAATGGGACGCGCGATTTTAGTTTACAGATTCGAATGGAGATTGAAAATTGCCCATCAGAGCTGCGGAGAGTTGTCCATGAAAGCGGAGAGGTCTCATATTGGTGCGTACTTTTATCTGCTTCATCGAAGTAGGGCGGGAGAATGTCCGGTTTGGCGGTAAAGATGAGGGTTTTTTTTTATGTAATATACATTTAAGGCTGCTTTAATCTAACGATTCTTAAATTGATGAGACTAATTGTTGGATGTTGATCCCGTGGGGGTGGTGTAGCAATACGGCTTGTATACGCATGCATGGAAACCTTGATACTGGGACAGCCACTCATTACACCACAGAAGATGATTCCGGTGGTTCAATGTCTTTCTAAGAAACGCCAGGGAGGCGATTGGACAGTAATTGCATCAGTTACCTTTACTTTAGACGCGAACATAGCCCCAGGGGTTGTATAATGGCATATCTACTACTAGGCAATCTCGATATCGTAGAAGCAAGACGAAGGTCAGAAATTGTTAGCATAAATTATTCCCCAATGCATCTATTATCCATTTTAGCCCGATTCATCATGCTGCGCACGAATCCCTTGCAAGGTTTCCAGTAGGGCTAAGATGGCAGGGCGGGCGTTTCTAGAACAAGCGAGTGATCATCGTGCCTCGGCCCATAGAATGCCATAAGATATATCTCGCAGAATTGTCCAATGCAGAGAGTTTAATGAACTCGTGTTGAAGATAAGTAATGTGGAAATTGTCAGGAGACCAGACATCATGCCTCTCTTCGTCATCTCGCTTGACCCACCTGTTTTCGTCATCGTACAGACAGCTGCTTGTGAAGAGATACAGCTTCCGTCTTTGAGCAGACAATTATTGCTTCTCCGGCATCTCCACGGAAGAGCCAAATGAGAATCGCTACTATCAAGATAATTCTGTATTCCCTTCATTTATAGCGAGTTATTGAATAGGCCAGCAGCATCACTCGCGATGCTATCTCGCTGTGGGGCTGACGTTGAATAGAGACTAAACCATCTTTGGTAACTGTCAGCGAGAACTATGATGACGGTAAATCTCGCTGTGTTAGATAATCAAGTTTGACGATCATCAGGCATGAAACGAAAGAATTTGAGCTTTATTAACGCATCGTTTCTAACTCGTCTCTAATTACAGATATCTCCTTCACCACTTGATTAGAGCCCTATTTCCCACTTTCTATTTACATCAAGCGCCATACTCATATTTCTGTGAACAATGAAGTTACTATTAAACATCAACCATGCGGGTGAGACAGCGCTAAGGCCGGGAGATGAGCTTCAAGGAACGTTGATCGTTTCGGGCATCGCGAGCCAGAAGCGGCCTCATTGCACAGCTACCATTGGAGGTAAGACAGGCTCGTCAGGACAAACTTCTATCTTATATGCCGGTATGAAGCTAACAAAAAGAACGTCCAGGGCGATTAATGATTTCGGTACCTGCTCAAGTCGCTGGCCCTAACATAGACAACGCAGTATATACGGTATGAGATGAACCACCATCAAGTTTCACAACATCAACATCGCTCTCATCTAACATTGTCAAAGCTATTCGAAGAAACGAAACAACTGGAATACGAAATTACCTCGCGCAAAAACAGCCCGGATGACGATGTTCATTTTATGCCTTTCAAATTTCAATTCCCATCTCATATGCAATGCTCTAAACATCCTCATCCATGCCAATTTCCCCCTTCAACAAGTGTACACGAAGGCAGCTCTAAGATAAAGGTGGAATACTACATCACTGCAGCCGCGGACAGACCTATATTCGGCGGTCTATCGACCAAAAAGAGGGTCACGAAGCCATTGCAACTCAGCAGCAGTTTCTCATCCACCACCTCGCCAGCGCCATTATCCATTTCCAGCTTACCGTTAACGCTACAACAAAAAGATGGCACAAAACGTCTGCAACCCGGGCCTGATGGCTTACCGGCATACACGCCATCGATCAACGTCCAAGTCGTGCATCCTGAGCCACCAATTTTTGTCCGAGGTCAAGCAAATCGCATCCGATTCAATGTCCACAGTCCATCCGAAGCGATTGGGAAACTATTTGTTCGGAGCGTAAACATCAACTTCAAGACTTCCACTATCGCAGCCTCTGGATCAGCTGCACAACGAGTTCAGCAAAATGCGTCTGGAGTTGAGTTATCCAGTCTCATTCCAATTGATTCGGAAGTACTGGAGCTCGATACGGGAACCTGGGGGCGCCTCTCTATGCTCAGCCTCAGACCGACATTCGAATCCTGCCTAGTGCAGATAAAGCATGCAGCTGAAATAAGTGTTGGTATTTCGGTTGGGCCCCAGGGAAGCATTTCTGTAAGTGTCATTTGTTATCAATCTCCATACTCGTCATGAGCAAGAGGCTAATGCTGCGTAGTATGCTTCATCTTCGTTTGATGTTCTGGTGATGGACCCGCCACCTTCCTATGAAGAGATTTAGGCGCTTCAGACATAGGAAACAACTACATCATTCCACATCATTTATGTTCAGTTGCATTTTTAGAGAGAAATCAGAACAGCCAAAGATACCTAGCTCAGACCAAGAATGAGCCAAATTATAGATAGACATAGAAGAATTTTTGCATACCACTTGACCATAGAAATGAACAAGGCATCACTAAGCTTTAGCTTTGACCGTTGCCACCTATGTACAGAATTCAATTGCACGCGGAACTGTAGGCTTGCGTCTCTAGGCAACTGGCCTGGCGACGGCTAACACTGTCACAACTCCAGAGTGCGCAGGATCAAATGACCATTGCGTTTGTCACAATTACTAGTTGTTTTTGGCACACAAAGCAGCCTTAGAATCGCCGCAGGTCTGCATTTAAATGCCAGCTATGAGATACTCTTGATGGATGCATATGAAGGATCGTCAACGGAGAATACTACGCTGTTTCGTTCCGACTTCCGAAAGACGTTATACCAGATTGAGAAATTACGAGCGAGACGCTGACTGGCTCTCGCTTTTCGGGCAGCTTCGAATTAAAGCTTCCATTTTGGTTCCTTTTTTTCCTTTCTTCTCCTGGTTATATCCGAAGCGCCTCATCACGGCAGAAGCGCGAATGCTTTGCTTCCATCGAAAAGAGGTCTCTCAGAGTCTAGTTGACTAACATTTAGCGTAGACAACGCTGTTATTAAGTAGAGCGGATCAGGTGATAGATGTGCCTACACTAGCTAGGGGGAGTATAACGTCCGGCTTGGGGGTGCCACATACCAATGCCTATTCCGCTTGCTCTTTGGAAATGGGAACGGTATCTTCCGTATAGGACGTTTATATCCTCGTCGTCATGATTGAGTAGCTAAAGCTTAGAGTAGAATTAGCCACACTGTGTCGCCTAGCATATTTCGCTAGCTCTGGATATAGCTCCTCCCTTGACTTGGCACTGTGCGCGGTTCTATTACATCATGAACTATTTTTCAGTTTCAGTTGAACCGATATCTGATGAAAATTGGGAATAGAGCTTAATATTTGGAAATAGATGACAGGTGCATTTTGAGCTTTAGCGGGGCCTCTTCTTAATTGAAGGTGATCAGCCGTTGCCATCCAATCAAGTTGACGTCAATGTAATATCATCAAACCTTACATCGCGACAGTATAGTGTGGTGATGTATGAGTGACGGCCAATATTATGTCGCTACCCCTCATGATTTCACGACTAGATAACAAATAAATAAGATGTAGCTTGGTTTTCTTTGAAGCGTAGGGCACAGCGAAAAACTGGTCAATTTTGACGCCGAAACCATGTCAAACATTATCCCACCAGCCGTGAAACAAGCAGTCATGGGCCAAAAAGGAGCGAAAACAGACCAGCTGGCGGCTCACACTGTTGAGCCGACCAAGGACAGCAGAATCACATCCGACTTTGGCACTAAGCAAACGAATACCGATGACTGGCTTCGGATCAACAGCAAGGATCAGATAGGGCCGTCGCTGCTGGAAGATCCATTTGGGCGTGAAAAAGTACGCGGCAGAGTCAGAATAATACAGAATTTGTACTAAAGGCATCAAAATAGATCCATCGATTCGACCACGAGCGTATTCCAGAGCGAGTCGTCCACGCCCGAGGCACCGGAGCCTTTGGAACATTCCGCCTATTCGAATCTGCCGAAGACGTCACCCATGCCAATATTCTTACCGATACCTCACGCGAGACACCAGTCTTTCTGCGCTTCTCGACCGTCCTAGGAAGCCGTGGCTCTGCCGATACCGTCCGTGATGTGCGCGGCTTTGCAGTCAAATTCTACACCCAGGAGGGCAACTGGGACATCGTAGGCAACAACATCCCCGTCTTCTTCATCCAGGACGCCATCAAGTTCCCCGATGTCATCCATGCCGCCAAGCCCGAGCCTCACAACGAAGTGCCCCAAGCACAGTCGGCGCACAACAACTTCTGGGACTTTGTCCAGATGCACACTGAGGCCACTCACATGTTCCTGTGGACCATGTCCGACCGCGCCATTCCTCGCTCATACCGAATGATGCAAGGGTTTGGCGTCAACACATATACACTTACAAATGCCGCTGGCGAGCGTTCCTTTGTGAAATTCCACTTCACGCCAGAGCTTGGAGTGCATTCTCTTGTATGGGACGAGGCGCTCAAGCTGGCGGGCCAAGACCCCGATTTCCACCGCAAGGATCTCATGGAAGCCATTGATAATGGAGTTTATCCGAAATGGAAGTTTGGCATACAGACAATTGATGAGTCAAACGAAGATGACTTTGATTTCGACATTCTTGATGCTACAAAGGTTTGGCCGGAGGACCTTGTGCCTATTCGGTATATCGGCGAGCTCGAGCTGAACAGGAATGTGGACGAGTTCTTCACCCAGACTGAGCAATCAGCATTCTGTACCAGCCACGTCGTGCCGGGAATCGGCTTTTCCGACGATCCTCTCTTGCAAGGCCGAAACTTTTCTTATCACGATACTCAGCTGAGCCGGTTGGGCGTCAACTGGCAGGAATTGCCCATCAACAAGCCAGTCTGTCCAGTAATGAACTTTAACCGCGACGGCGCAATGAAACACACCATTACAAAGGGCAAAGTCAACTACTGGCCCAATAGATTCGAAGTTCAGCCGCCGGCGACAAAGGAGGAGGGCGGATATGTCGACTACCCCGAAAAGGTCATTGGCATCAAGGAGCGGGCAAAGAGCGCAAAGTTCAAGGAGCATTTCTCGCAGGCGCAGCTCTTCTTCAACTCGCTCTCTCAAATCGAAAAGTCTCACTTGTTGGCCGCGTTCTCGTTTGAGCTGGATCATTGCGATGAACCGATTGTGTATGAGCGGCTTGTGAAACGACTCGCAGACATTGACATTGGCCTCGCACAATCTGTTGGAAAAATGGTCGGTGGGTCTGTTCCAGAAAATAAAGGACAGCCGAATCACGGGAAGAAGGCCAAAGGTCTGAGCCAGCTGGAGTATCTCCCAGCGGAGCCGACGATTGCATCAAGACGAATTGGCATCATTATCGCTGATGGATACGATCCGATTGCTTTCAACGCCATGTATGGAGCCGCCAAAGGAGCAAAGGCCATCCCGATGGTCATCAGCACACACCGATCCCCCACTTTTGCCGAAGGAGAGAGTGAAGACGGAAAAGGCATCACGGCGGATCACCATCTAGAAGGCCAGCGTAGCACAATGTTTGATGCCATCTTTGTGCCTGGAGGTAAGAAGGCTATCGAGACGCTTTCCAAAAACGGCCGTGCGCTACATTACATTCGTGAGGCGTTTGGCCATCTCAAGCCAATTGGAGCCACCGGAGAGGGCGTGTTGCTGGTTGAAAAAGCACTCCAGCTACCCGAGCATGTGGTCACGTCTAGCAACCATGAAGCTGTGGAGAGCTATGGCGTAGTTACACTGAAGAGTGTGCAGCCAGAGGGCTTTGGAGAGGTCATGTCTGCAGTGAAGGGTGCCAAGGGGTTCTTGGACAAGTTTGCCTATGCGATTGGCAATCATCGCTGCTGGGAGCGTGAGCTGGATGGTCTTAATACCATGGTGGCGTATTAGGGAGATGAGACGCTGCGTGTAGTTCTATGTAGCTACCTACCTACCTAGGTATGCAAAAATATTTGTATGGAATGATCATGGGATTGTAAGGTATGCAGAATATTTGTAGGGAATGATCAAGGGATTGTTGAACAAATATAGGTAGCACAATACATTTTTAAGGTTGTTGATCTTAAAAAGCTCTAAGCAAATTGGTCTTTATGCCATTCCCTGTATGGTGACATCGGGCGTGAGGCACGAAACGATTTTGTGCCCAATGAAGCCTTGCACAGCCAGGCAACTACTACGACAAAGGCAGGTGGCCGTCGTATGGAGCTGCAGCCAACCAACTGTCACGCTGAAAACAACTCTGAGAAGCAATGTAGACCCAGAAAACCCGTTGCACTTACGCAATGCTGCTTCATTAGCTCGCTTGCTTGAAAGGGGAGCATTGGCTGTACGAGTCTGGTAGAAACGTATCTAGCGTAGCAACCCAGCGTAACACCGTGAGCAAGCTCGCTATCTGTAACCACTGAAAGGAAGAAACTGTCTGAGTTGAGCTGTGCATCAATGCATGTGAAATATTATACCCGTCGTGTACCTACTGTTTACAGCATAGTAGCAGGGGTATTTGCATCTTTCGCAAAACAGCCTGATTTCTTATTTGGCAAAGTATATATATGGAATGAGAGGTTCCTCGTATTGAAATGATACATTTCTCTTTGGATCAATTCAAGTTGTAAAAAGACGATTCAATGGGCTCCTCCAATTCCACGCTCAGTCCCATCGAGACGTGCGTGAGTGCCATTTGCAATGGGCGCCTAGAGTGTTACCACCTCCCGCAGAGTAACCTGGATCAATCGTGGAACAAACTATACAATCTCGCTCTTTCGCAGTATCCTCAGATTGTCATCCGGCCCAACAACGCTTCCGAAGTTTCTCAAGCGGTGAAATGCGCCAGCGACAATGGCTATAAAGTGCAAGCGAGGTCTGGTGGCCATTCTTATGGGTAAGAGGCCAAAGGGCTTACCGGCAGTGAAAAACAGGATGAGGCTTCTTTCTAACGACGGAATGCAGAAACTTTGCTCAAAGCGCGAATCAGACCAACGGCATGATGATTGATTTGATAAATTTGAAGGATTTCCAGATGGACAACGACACTTGGCACGCAAGCGTTGGATCAGGGTACAGACTAGACGACCTGGACAAACAGCTGCATCAGAACGGAGGCAGGGCCATTGCACATGGCACATGTCCCGGAGTTGGAGTTGGCGGACACGCAACTGTGGTGAGTATATGACTTTGCATTCTGTCGAGCTGTTCCGTGCAGGATTTTGATACTTGGCTTAGGGAGGACTCGGGCCCAGTTCAAGAATGTGGGGATCTGCGCTGGACCACATCATCGAGGTGGAAGTCGTAACCGCCAATGGAACCATTGTTCGAGCAAACGAAGACGACTACTCGGATTTGTTTTACGCAGTTAGAGGAGCCGGAGCCAGTTTCGGCATCGTCACGGAATTCGTTTTCAAAACGCATCCCGAGCCAGGCAGCGTCGTTGAGTACACGTACAGCTTCAGCTTCGGCCAGCAAAAAGATATGGCACCTGTATTCAAACAGTGGCAGGACTTGGTGTACGATCCTAACCTCGACCGACGCTTCTCGACATTGTTCATCGCCGAACCTCTCGGAGCTCTCATCACTGGCACGTTTTATGGCACCAGGGAGGAATTTGACCAGACGGGAATTTCGCAAAAGATTCCCGGCGGAGGAGTTGTCGATTTTGCTATACACGATTGGCTTGGGAGTTTGGCGCATATTGGAGAGGCGACGGCGCTGTATCTAAGTGACCTCGCAACGCCTTTTGCTAGCAAATCATTGGCGTTCAACAGAGGCGACAAGATGAGCAAAAAATCCATCGACGCAATATTCGACTATGCGGGCAGCACTGATGCAGGAACTTTACTCTGGTTCATCATCTTCAACTCTGAAGGAGGCGCCATGGGAGATACTCCATATAACGCAACTGCATACCCGCACCGCAGTGCAGTGATGATGTACCAGTCTTATGCCATTGGAATACCGACACTGACGACAAAGATATCCGATTTTGTTTCTGGAGTGCATGATAGGATTAAGCAGGCTGCTCCGGAGGCGAACATGACTTATGCTGGGTATATTGACGTGTCGTTGGATAGGTCGACTGCGCAATTGACTTATTGGGGGGATAAGGTGCCTCAGCTGCGGGAGATTAAAGGGCGGTATGATGCTGATAATGTTTTTCAGAATCCACAGAGCATTCAATTCTTGACTTAGGGCAGATTTAAGATTAATGTAGATAGAGGGGGGGTTAATATATGCTGCTGTTTAATCCTCGTATCAAACTCATGACATTACTAGAATGGCCTACACATTGCGATCTTATATATTGAGTCATGTACTGTATTATTAGCTCATCAAAATGTGATCAAGTAAAAGAAAATTTGAGACTGCTTATTTTTCATTATCCGTGGCAGCGAGGGAGAATTGTTAATGCTTGGGGTTGAAGTCACTTCATGGTACAATTCCAAGTATAGGGTGATCAAATCATACCCAATGCGCTGCGAGCGCCCGCGCCACAACGGCGATATAGACACAGTGCAACACGTTACGAAGTTTTCATTAATTCTGTATCACATTGGCAAATATCAATATAAGGTTATAAACGTGAAATCATTATACGCATTCGAATGCCCAAAGGAATGGCTGCAGTAGTGACAGGATCTCGGCGTTGAGCCGCCTACTAGATCTGTGTCCCGGTGGCGCTGCGGACACTGTTGATACAGCGCACGTTATTTGTCTCGGAAACGGAACCGGCTATGGGCGGGTTACTCGATTACTGCCGTGCATTTTGAATAGAGCATATGGCTCTGTCTCATCTGCCTGTTCCTCATACTATGACCGTACTCTGCATGTATAACCCTTTTACTGCCGTAAACGAGGCTGGAGGAACACTTATACATATACTTATCATCAACCACCTATTCCAAGTGGATTGCCATATCATCAAAGTCACAAGTAGGCTAAGCCTAATTATCCCCTCCTCAGCTTATGGGCATCTCTCCCTTCTCCACTACCCCGCGTTACTACCAAGAAGCTCTCCCTTTATTACCGAGAGAGGGGCATTAAACTGCTGGAAATTTGTCAAACTTATTTGCCAATCGGGGTTTCAGACCCACGGCCAGTCTCGGCTCAGCCTCCTCAGACTGCCCCAGATTGGCGATTACGGAGACATCACGCGGGCCTCGCAGACGCATCACCGGACGTTGACGCGGGTCCCCGATGGCATGGGCGATTAGATAACGGGGATCCTTGGGTCGGTGGGTTGGGTAGCTTTCCAAATAACTGCCCAAGTTGGGTTGGCTCCTGCTATGGCGATTCCATGCCTTTGCTGCATATCCTCCATTGGCCAATACTTGGACGCGGCTGCCTCGTGCTATTACTTGACTGCTCTCCTGTCATCCTGCATCCAAAACGTCGACTTCATCTAAATCAACCAACCGGGGAATTCATTCTTCATCAACTCCAAAAATTATTCTCGTCATACGCTGCCTTGGTGCTCGAGACGTCTGGCACCCAAAGAGCTACAGGCAGCTAGCAGCCGTCCATCCATCCATCCTCTCTCACATCTCAGGTATGTTACTTGTTCTAAATCAGATACCCTATCCCTTTTCACATCAGCTCCCCTAAAATGTGCATGGCGATGCTTCATGTCAACAAGAATACAATGCCACCCTAATAGTATGAATATGACAAGGTGGATGCCCAAGACCAGATGCCCACTCTCAAAGCAAGCCCCTCATCGGAGCTTCAGGTACTTGGGCGTCAACATCACCCAATACCCGATTCCGTTCCCCTTGCCCCATTGATTCATTCAGATTATCATGTCGAGTCATTTCTCATATAACTAACTCAGAAAAAGCCCTCTTTAAATAACCAGACGCCATGCCTCTTCTGCATCGCTCCGGGACGTCGCTGACGGCGGCCCTCTTAAGAAGTCGCCCCACCGCCCCGATAGCCGGCGCCGTAGCTTCATCTCACAGCACATACACCCGGCGCTCGTCAAGTCTAACAGTTGCCGAATCCGCATCTAGAGCCCGGGGCCGAAGTCTTGTCCATAAAAGAGCAATTCCATCCTCTGTTCTTGTGAGTGCTAACCACAGACATGCCTCAACTGCAGCCATGGAGAAGCCAGACTACCAAAACATGTACACGGCCTCGTCGGCCTTTTTCGAGGCGTTATGGGAAGCCGGCGTCACTCACTGCTTTGTAAATCTGGGATCTGACCACCCGAGCATCATTGAGGCGATGGTCAAGGGAGCTCGGGAACGCAAAGGAAACTTTCCCACGATGATTACTTGTCCTAACGAGGTAAGTCTCATATGAATCAGTTCAATAAAACTGCATGATGCCAATACTCACCGTCAATTAGATGGTCGCCATGTCCATGGCAGATGGCTATGCCCGCTTAACCGGCAAGCCTCAGGCTGTCATTGTCCACGTTGATGTCGGCACACAAGGTCTTGGAGCGGCCGTTCACAACTCAGCCTGTGGCCGAGCACCAGTTCTCGTCTTCGCCGGCTTATCACCATTCACTCTTGAAGGCGAACACCGCGGTACCCGTACCGAGTACATTCACTGGATCCAGGATGTTCCCGACCAGAAGCAGATTGTTGCCCAGTACTGCCGGTACACGGGCGAGATCAAGACAGGCAGAAACGTCAAGCAGCTGGTCAACCGTGCGCTGCAATGGGCCAAATCAGGACCGCAAGGCCCGGTATATCTGTATGGTGCAAGAGAAGTCATGGAGCAAGAGATTGAGCCGTACCAGCTGAGACAGAGCGATTGGAACCCTATAAAGCTGGGCAGCCTGCCCCAAGACGCTGTTGATAACATTGCAGATGCGCTTGCCGGTGCTAAACGGCCAATGGTTCTCACAGGATATGGCGGCAGAAACCACGAATTCCCCGGAGCGTTGGTTAAGCTCGCTGATACGGTTCCCAACCTGAGAGTAGTGGACTGCGGAGGCAGCGACATGTGCTTCCCATTTGACCATCCTGCTTCTCTCGGTCTCAACTATGGCGGCGAAAAGACCATCCCCGATGCCGATGTCATTCTGGTTCTGGACGCTGACGTGCCGTGGATTCCTGCCCATATCAAGCCCAACCCAGACGCCAGGGTATTCCATATCGATCTTGATCCACTCAAGCAGCAGATGCCCGTCTTTTACATTGAGTCGGAAGCAACGTATCGCGCCGATACGCAGACTGCCATCGAGCAGCTGACCGAGGCTCTCAAGACTGGAGAAACCGCAAAGAAGCTGCAGGCCCAGAACACGACACAAATCGTCGAGCAGCGAAAACAGGAGCACGAAACGCGTCTTGCCAAAATTGCAAAGGCTGCTGAGCTTCGTCCTGATGGCACCTTTGGAACCGGTTACTTGTGCCGAACCATCAAGAAACTCGTGCCGGAGGACACTCTGTACGCCATTGAGGCCGTGACCAACACCCTCTTTGTCTACGACAACATCCAGCCCTCAGTACCCGGAACATGGATCAACTGCGGTGGTGGTGGCCTAGGCTGGTCTGGAGGTGGTGCCTTGGGCATGAAGCTGGCTACTGATGTAGAGCATGGAGGCAAGAACAAGGGCAAGTTTGTCGTGCAGATTGTCGGTGACGGCTCGTTTCTCTTTACTGTCCCCGGCAGTGTCTACTGGATCTCAAAACGCTACGACATTCCCGTCCTAACTATTGTGCTGAACAACAAGGGTAAGTCATGCACAGGTCTTTCATATATCTTCAGCCTGCAGAAAGCTAATGATCTTATGTGATAGGCTGGAACGCTCCCAGACGGTCTCTGCTGCTGGTTCACCCCGAAGGACTGGGCTCCAAGGCAACCAACGAAGAAATCAACATCTCGTTTGATCCCGCACCTGACTACTCCGGCATCGCCAAGGCAGCCGCGGATGGGGACATTTTCGCCGCCAGAGTGAGCGAGCTGGCTGACCTAGAGGGCGTGCTGAAGGAAGCCATTACCTATGTCGAGAATGGCCAGTCAGCGGTGGTGGATATCAAGGTTGCGTCAGGGTGCTAGAGCATTATTCGTGTCATTTCTGCTTTATTTAATTATTTTTACTGGGAGTCAAGCGATATGCGGATGCGTGTATGCAGATAGCGCTCTGGGAGGATATAGAGAGGTCCCAAGGAGGGTCGGTCATCTTAGACTCAGTGTATGTATTAAGACAGCTGTTGTCGGAATAAAATGAATGCTTCAAAACTTTTTTATATTAAATGAGGGATTGGATCACATTCCAATGAAGAGACTATTATTCGTTTTAGCGAATATAAAATAGGTCACACCGATGCAAATGTCATGCCGTAATCCATTGCTCATTGTTTCAAGTCCCGCCAAAACTGAGCTGTCGCGCCCAACTCCTCGTAATGTGCAAAGTTGTGCGGCACACCAGCATATACATGTAGCTTCACTGAAACGCCATTATCCTCCAATTTCTTTGTATATAGCATTCCCTCATCGCGAGGGCTATTCCTTCCAGCCACAAAAACCAAGTGTGGACTAAGTTCCGCCATCATCCCATGAAGAGGAGAGACTTGGGGACCTGCACCTGCGCCAGAAGAAGGGGATATCACCGTATCCCAACGGAAGTGCAGGTAGTGGCAGAGCACCGGGACGTTGAGGAAGACTCCGAGCACAGACTTGGATGCGTCTCGGCACCGCTGGGCGAGGATGGCAGCGATAGTCGCTCCTGAGGATGAGCCTGCCAGGATGAGCTTGGACATGTCACAAGATACGCCCATGTCCGATGTGAATTGCGAGTTGTCGGTGAATAACTGGCACAGGGTTTCCCATGAATCTTCAATCCAAGTGGGGAACTTGTTTTCAGGAGCAAGGCAGTACTCGACACTAACAGTGATGATGTCGAGATCTTCATATAGGGGCCATAGCAGCCATGCCTCTTCCGAGACGTGACTGCCCGAAATCCAACCGCCGCCACGCGCCGTATAAGCTGCTCGTCACTCACGGCTACGAAATCTTAACGCTCAACTCTGCTTCTTCATGAACGACGAATGTTTTCAACTGCGAGACATAGCCAATAGATGAGAAGGGGTGGCTTGCAGCCTAGTTCTTGTCCGCCTTGGCGTGGATTATGGCCTGCCTTGAGAGAAATCAATATCTAGGGCTTTGATGGCGCCTGGGTCAGGGATGACATTGAAGGAGATTGGGAGGTTGCTTTTTTCGGCAAAGTCTTTTAGTCCTGGTCGAAACTGAAGTGCTCCGTCGTGAAAGGATGGCTGGGTAAGAGGGAGTGGTGGTTCGCCTTTGTTGTGCCTCGCTTGATGCAAGATAGATAGCATAGCCTTGATAAGGGATTTGTCTGGCATAAATGAGTGCGGAGTTTCTGTGGAAATCCCTGGCTGGCGGTGATACTGAGGTGAAAGATGCTGTTGGTTGGTAGACAAGATAAACATGCTGATGTCATGCTGGCACGAAGCAAATTCCGAGCTTGGTCAATATGTGTATATGTAGGTACATGTAACAAGAGCTAAGAGATGCTAGAGAAGAAAAGAAATACACTATATCAAGTACAAAAAAATACAAGGTTACACAGACAAATGAAAACGTCATTGAGCATATCAGATAGAAGATTGCAGAGATGGCATTGCAATATATATAGCCGTATGGGTATCTCTGGACATAAATCAAAAAAAAAAATAAAAATAAACAAGCTCAGCTCCCCCGATAAAACAAACTATGCCCAATCCCGACCCGTCCCAGTCCACCGAGCCAAAAGGAGAATAAACAGATGATTCAAGTAAACAACTCAGGGAAAGACGACCATACTCGCGGCATCGTCATTCCCTCTTCCATGCCCGCCCTATGCAAGATGCCAAGCCCACTGAGAAAGAAATCCAAAGAGAAAAGAAAAGCTAGAGCCTGGAGAATGAGCAATGTCAAAACCCCAAATCCCAGCCTGGATATATGGAGACGCAATTTTGCTAGACCAATTTTTTTTAATGCGTACACGCATACAGAGCAGAAGCAGCAGCAGCAGCAGCACCATCAACATCAGATCATTGCGACAACTGAGAAACTTCCCGGGACGTCTTCCTCTTCTTCTCCAACTTCAGCTTCGGAACTTGCATGCCATCAATCACCATCTTACCCTCTTTGAGCACCTGCCAATGCTTCTTCAGCAGCTCCTCTCTCACGACGAGCTCGAATCCCGCCAAGAAGCAGAAGCTAATCTCCAACCTTGCCAATTCGACCTCGCTGACGCCGCCGACCTTGGCAATCTTGGTATGCGGGTATGACAGATCCTCGAGCGCCTTCATGGCTACCCGCAGGCCCGCGAGGACCAGTCGATGGGCGTTTCGTCTCGTTACGGGGATGGCGCGCTCTTCGACGGCTAGGCGGTGGATGTATAGCGATGTGGCGAGGTAGACGGCTGTGCTCATGGGGCAGAACTGGTGCAGTCGGAGCAGATACTGGTGCACGGAGATGGGCGGTTCGTTTTTGCTGTAGAATTTGCGGGTGATGGCGCCATGCTGCAGGTTCAACGGCTGTGAATCGGCGCCGACGACGACGTATGGTTCTGGCGGGTGAAGGTTCGGGGCTGAAGATGATGGTGTCGAGCGCTTGAGATGGTCGTGTTTTAGGCGTACGCCGTCGATGGCATAGGCGTTCTGTTGCTGGCCGTCCTGTTGAGCTATCAGCAGGGCTGACATGGACGCGCTGTACGCCTGGAGCTTGCTTCTGCTTACACTTGATGCCGACGAGCGGCTCTGTTTCTGCAGATTCTGCTGCTGCTGCTCCTCTTGTTGGCGCTTGATCCGCAGTTTTCGGTTTTTCTCTTCTTGTTCTTCCAGCAGGGCCTGCGCCCGCAGTCGCGCAAGGCTCTTCTCCGAGTGTGACCGCGCGATACTCTCCTTCTCGGCCTGCATGTTGCTCATCTGGGGGTCGGTCGGTGTCTTCGGCGGCGGCGTGGGAGGGACGTCGCCGGTGATGCGGACCAGCAGCTCGACGCTTGCGCTGAGAAGCTGCAGCGCCTCGGTGGGCTTGAGCTTGAACAGGTCATAGTCGTCGTTGTTTGTGGGCGTTGGCGAGTCTGCGGGAGGGCTCTTGTTGCTGTCGATGGACAGTCGCGGATCGGATGAAGGCACTGGCGGCGGCGGGAGATCGTGGACGGGGCTGGGGTCGTCTGGTTGCTGCAGCTGGATCGCCATGGGCGCCTCGATCTGCTGCGTCTCGGTCGCAGCAGAGGACATGGCTACTGGAGTCGACGCTGTGACGGCGTCTTTGGAGTTGATTCTGCCGGGATCGCGAAGATGCGCGCACAAGATCGCGGCTGGAGGGGAGTCGAGATGGCAGCCGAGGGTGGATGTGGTGTAGCCGTGGCTGCGGCGCGTCTTGTAGTCTTGGCCGTGTCTTTCTCGCTTCTTCTCTTATTGCTTCTTCTGTGATATTATCGCTCTTCGTCTAGGTCGCTGTTTATCGCAGAATCTCGCTACGAAACGCAGTCGTGGATGCGCCAACTTGGTCGATTGCAGGATGCAAGGAAGAAAGATGTCGCATGTTCCCTCCAAGGGTTTCCTCAATCGTCGTCGCGGTCCCTGCTGCGCCCCTCTTGATCGTCCTTTCAGTCTCCTCCTTTTTTGAATCGCTGCTTCGAGTTTCTCGGGCCCTGCGGTCGCCACACACGATGTTCGTTTCCGCAAACGGCTTCTGTCGGGAGGCGAGTTGTCAAAGTTGGAGACGCAAAAAAAAAAAAAAAACGGAAACTCCCTTGCCGCGCTGGAAATCTAGCTGGCCTCGTGATCAGCACAAACGCTCTGCCGCCTGAAGAAGAAAAAAAAGAGCCGTGGGGGCCACAGCTAGTGGACCGAGCGCCCTATTTCTTCAGGGACTCGCGACAGCAGCGGGAGCTTGGACGATACGGATGGGCAGATGGAGCACGGGATGGGCAGATGAGCAGATGCTGGCCAGCGGCGGCGGGTTTGATCTGGCTGATGATTTGCTCGATGCGGCAGCCCCTGGGAGCCGGCGCCTAAATTAGAAACCCCACGTGTAGAGGCGCGTGCAGGGAGATTTGATGGATGCGATGTGGTTCTGCCACGAGTTACGGCACGCGTACATGTAATACGCATTCAGAGTGGAATCCCTCGCTTCTCTTGCTAGCATCGTGATAGAGACACGCATATGTACCCTTTGAACCCTTAAAACACTCTATTCTGCTCGATACGTGTACATTGCATCAAACTGCACATCCATTCCTCTTTCAAGTTGGGGGCCCATCCCATCCCACTCTATTCATCCACCCGCTCTCCATATAACCAAGTACCGGTACCGGTTATTTAGCACTTCCGATCCACACCAGCAGCGTTCTGACGGGCCATCAACCAAAAACATCTTTCAACTAAAGCAGCTAAAAGGACCCCTAATTTCGTTTCTTGCTTATTAGCAACTGTCAATGCCCAGTCTACTGCTCGTTCCGTCGATAGCTTGACGCCACAAGGGAACGTGTACAGTAAGCTTCTTCTCCCCCGCTCGGCCATAGGACAGGCTGAAAACGGAGCTACAATCCAGATCGAACCCTAATAGCAGAATCAACAAGAGATCGACAACGAAGCAGATAACTGCCTTTACTCTAATAATTAGGGGGGCAAAGTAAAGGTACATCTTGCTGATCCTTCGAAGCGTCTCCCCACGCCCGATGATTAATGATCCCTTCACAGCCGCCACCCATTCATTAAAATCATTAGTGACTTATACCGGTGGCGTCTGCCGTGAAGCGGTCTAGACTCTACAGAGCAGCTGCATTTGATCAACCAAATCAATTGGTCCAGCGCTGCAAATATCCCGTGTCGGAGCTGCATCTATTTAATGAGGAAGCGGATCCCATGCAGCGTTGCCGTGTATTTCTTATACTAGTACTATCTTTATTCGGCGAATATGGCTCTAGAGGCATGTAAGTACTGATCTGTTTGCATCTTATTGGGCAGAATCTATAAAGAAGACGGGAGAAAATGGCAACGGCTAATCCTGGGTGCATGCTGCAGTAAGACTCACACCGATACTGCTATAAATAAGGCAAATGTTGTTTAAGCGGCAGTGGTAGTGTCGCACTATTAGACAACAGATGTGGCTTCTGGGATGGTGTGCTAAAGAGTGAGGCGAACATGGCACTTGTACGCGATTTCCACAGCCATATGAGATGCTGACAGTAATACATATTTGTATCCACATCGACACCAATGACACTTGAACCACTATATCTGGCTGAGAACAAACACTTGAGGCATTGGCGCTTTCATTCTATTCTTTACGATTATTACCGTCGCAATACATACATCGACTGTAGTGATCCGTTCTTACTGGCTTCATGCTATCGGCCGTATTGGTCCAGGAACGTGCTAGTCTGGTTAGGCAGCTGCAGGATGCATGTGTGCCTCGTAAACCGCCTTACCTGGAAGATTCCATTTTAGAGTACATGCTTTTACCTCTCTTCGCCAACTATGTGAACCTTTAATCATTGTGCTACTTGATAGCTTCCTGCTTTTCATAACACTATCAATAATGGACCCTCTCAGCTCCTTACGCGTAGCAGCTGGGGCTATTCAATTCATCGACTTTGGTCACCGGCTTTTGATCAACACGCGCGAGATTTATCACTCTGCCAGCGGACTCACCCATAATATGGTTCAGCTGTCCACCATAGCGTCAGATCTCTCGCAACTAAGCAGTAACCTCAGATCTCATCTCAATACCGTCAAAGAAGTAGCGCCAAAGCCGAAAGAAGACACCTTGGAGGATATCCTGCTTCGGGTCTGCCTGGGATGCCAGGATGCCAGCCGCGACCTGCTCGAAGCCATCAGCGCCTTGCACGGAAAGCAGCAACAGGAGGATAAGCTTGATACAGCTCAGACCTCTAGACCTGCATACTTCTACTTTGGGAGAGAGGTCAATGCCACTCTTGCTAGCTTCGCTACTGCGCTGCGTGAGATCTGGTCCAGCAAAAAGATCAAGGCATATCGCGACCAGCTTGCACACTATCGGGCACAGCTGACGACAGCTTCACTTGCTGTTCTCTGGTATGACTTCGTATCGTTCGACAACGTATGAGTGAATATCTCATGACGGGGATAGGGAGAAGTCAAAGCAAGGAGTCCAACAACTGGGCGAGCTCTCTCGGCAGCAAAATCATATGCTTGAGACCCTTGGCCAGGTCCAGCAGACAACGGACTCTCTGAATCAAAACTTGATACAGCTGCTGAAAAATGCATCGTCAGCACCAGAATCTAAACATTATACGTTGATCCAGAACGTCTGGTCTTCTGCCTGGAGCGCGGAAGGATCTGAATTGACCACGGATGATGACCTATGGCTCGACACCAGCGAGAATACTAATGAATTTTGTACCAACGCCATCATTGAAAGCCTCAAGTTCCAGGGGGTTGACTCTCGAGAGGCGGCTATTAGCAAGGCCTACGAACAGACGTATGAGTGGGTGTTTGAGGAGCCGCAGGAAGCTGCTCCTAAGCAGAGACCATGGTCCAGTCTCGTGTCATGGCTACAAGGCACCTCGGCCAACATATACTGGATCACCGGCAAAGCTGGAGCTGGCAAGTCGACCTTGATGAAATTCATGGTTGGACATCCCAGCCTGCACGAGCGGCTGGCACGATGGGGCAGGCGCAGCAACAAGCCTCTGCTCGTTGCGTCCTTTTATTTCTGGAACGCAAGCACTCTAAATATGCAAAAGTCTCAGGAAGGCTTGATGAGATCTCTTCTAGCCCAGTTCCTCGCCCAAATGCCATCCATCGTCGCCCGGGTGTGTCCTCGGCGTTGGGCGCTGCTCAAGATCTTTGGCCAGCGCTGCGTAGATCGCGTCCCAGCTTGGACTCTTCAGGAACTCTCTGAAAGCTTCGCTCTATTCAGCCTGCTTGTGGGCACTAGTTTCAATCTTGCCTTGTTCATCGACGGATTGGACGAATTCGACGGCAAACACAGCAATCTAATACAGTTTGTTAAGCTGCTCCACTCTCGACCAGGTACAAAGATATGTGTTAGCAGCCGGCCTTGGGTAGACTTCCTAGATGCCTTCCACGACAGCCCTCAACTCAGGATGGAGGACCTGACGACAGACGACATTGGGATTTTTGCGCGCGGCAAGTTTGAAGAAACGCGGGCATTCCGGGAACTACGAGATGCCATGCCAAGCGAGGCCCATAGGCTGATGAAAGGAATCGCTGAAAAGGCCAAGGGCGTCTTCTTATGGGTCTCTGTCGTCGTTCATCTGCTGCGCGAGGGCCTCACTGAAGGAGATAGCCTGCAAGATCTCCAGAATATGCTAGACACCCTCCCGAGCGACATCTCCAACCTGTACAAAAGCATATGGAAAGGTATCAAACCACAATACATCGGCCACGCCTCAAAGCTGTTCCAGGTGCATAGCTGTTCGACGTTGCCGCTAGATGTCGTAACTCTGTGGCTTGCCGACGAAGAAAACACTCTCGATTACGATATCAGCTTTGTCCAGGGGGATCTCCAGCGCCACATCGTACAGATCATGACAAGGCGGTTGGACAGTAGGACACGAGGCCTGCTTGAGATATCCACCGACGGCACTGTCGACTATCTGCACAGGACTGTTCGTGAATGGATCATGCTCATCTGGCCCGACATCTGCGCCAAGTCTCCGCCCAGCTTCGATCCGCATCTCCAGCTGCTTAAAGCTCTCGCAGTTGAGAGCCTGAGCTCCAAGCTGTGGGATGGTCACGGGATGCTCATGCCGTTTACTTTCTGGCAACGCGTGTCCGTCTGCTTCTATCATGCTTGTCGCATTCTCGACACTGAGGTTAATGCTGCGCCCCTCGTGCGTGCCCTCGATCGCCTTGATGCAGATTTATCGCAAGTCTCAAAGATGTACGCAATGCCTGACGGCAGATTGCCGCTCTATCGTAGCACCGCAGTATCGGGAATCACCATGACCACCGACGACGAGGACCTTTTACCGCACTGGGTAACTACGCAGTACACACTGACAGATGGAAGTTTGCACAATTCCTTCATCGGCCTGTGTGCGCAATTCGGGGTGCTCCCATACGTCCGTGAAAAGATCACCCGCCAACCAGAGCTGTTGAATCTGCCTGCGAAGACACACTCGGTGCTCGCCTGTGCTGTTTTCGGCCCCGAGCATTTCGGCCGGCCAGATATTATCGATTCCATGGGCCAGTATCTAAACACCACTTCATTGGACACGAGACTAGCACTCGTACGCTTCTTGCTAGATAATGAAGCATTGACGCTATTGCCTGAGCAGCCAGCCTTGTGCGCCGGGGATCAAACCACATGGAATGAAGTGCAACAAAAGGTGGAATATTACAATAGTCGCGCCAACCACGAGCAATCCAAGATGCAGCGTGAGTATTGGGATGCAGTTTCCGAGCTTTTCGAGGAGCGTGTACAAATTTTGGTGCAGCGGTCGAGAGCGGCTCCAAGAATCCGGCACAAGGCAGAGCCCAGAAGTTATTCAATTTTTCGCTTCTTGAGGAGATTGAGGAGTAAAGCTGGGGAAAGCATGTGAGAGCCCGTGTTGAAAGGGCGCAACAATACCTTGGGGTCATGGGTCAATCGACTTCTTAATCTTAATCTTGAATAAAGGCCATGTTTCGTAAATAGCTTGAAGTGAGTGTGCCATCATTGAAAAGCTCATCTTTTGGCTTGCGGGGTGAGGAGAAGGGGGATCTGAATAGCTTGAATTATAGTAGATTGGCAGGATATTTATTCTTAGACGCTGAAACATCTGCCTATAATAACACAGCTATAAAACGATTACAACTCCTATCTCTCTCTCCCATTCCAATGTAACTAAAACGCTCGATTCTTCCCCATCTCGGCAATATGCAGTGGCACGGACATGTGTAGCGCCGATGGCACGGCCCGAGATGATGCTTCAAAGACTCCGGCCCGAACTAGGTCCCGAGACGTTTGACGCCGACTCGGATTTATGCAATCTTCTTTCTTATCCCGACTCTAAAATCTTGAAAGAAATCAAAGTTTGTTGGTTATGCATTCAAAGTCGAATTCTATCTCTTTAAATCCATTTGCATTCATACATCTTCTTCCAAGATGCCTGTTTCGGCAGCTACTCGCCGGCGCCTCATCCGCCTCACCCAGGCTCTCGTTGGCGGCCCCATCGTCGTCTTCGGAGGTCTCGCCCTGTGGACTCGAAAATGTTCATTTGAGCCTTTTGGACCAGACACCGACTCATTATTCAAGCATCCGGTGTTGAAACAGCTCAATCCTCGGTGTCTGCCCAGTAGTCATGATTCGTGTGTTAGAAGAGTGCCTTTTGGCCAGCTGAGGCCAGAGTTGCTGGAAGATGCAAGACGAGGCGGGGGCGCGTTGGTACAGGAGTTTTCGAGAGGAATGTGGGGGGGATATGGTATTTATTTACTACGCAATTAAAAGAGATTTTGACTAACTGGGCGTAGGATATAGAATACAGAGGCGAATAATGGAATTTACAAAAGGTCCTGAGAATGCTTCCGATGTATGGGCTCCTGAAGAGCTCGGACGGGACACATTTGAGCCTGGTGAGGATATTGAGCACTGATGGTTTTAGTACCTAGCTGACCTTTAACAGGAACTGTCCTCACGAACCACTTTCTTGTCCTGGAAAAGTCCCCAACGGAATTGCTTTTTCGCGGCTGTCTCACTCCGAAAGAAACGCCATTTCGACCCCGCGATCTAGATAACTTCTTTGCGCTCACTGCAGAATTAAACGAGCAGCGGCAAGAGGCCGACTTTAGACTGAAAGCTATATCATTCGACGCGGTGACAACGGCGCCGAAAGAGGATCCGCTTGGAGGGGTGCCAGGAATGCTGCATAGGGTATATTCTAAGCTGTTGGTTGAGGCGGCGGTTGGATGGTGCGTAAGGTGAATGACAACAAACGAAGAGGTTTTTTACAAAGCTTCTGGTCCGACTTGTACGATATTAGCTATTGGGGGAGGCTGTCAAGTTTGAGTCGTGGCTATTTCATAGTCACGTTGAAGGAGGATGGGCTGAACAATACTTTCTCTCATACTAATTAGTTTCAACAAGTGGACATATTTAGCAACCGAAAGTGTGACAATAGAAAAAAAAGGCAGTGTTTGGAGAAGAAAGTTGGAAAGGCCGAAGGCGAACAAAGGCTGGGAGATGCCCAGTAACTGAGAGAGGCTCAAAGCCAGAAAAATGTCCAAAAGTAGATAATGATGTGAAGCTATTGTAACCATGTCAATTTCAGAACGGAATATTCCAAAACAGGTAAAAAGAAACAAAGAACATGCAGCATAGCTTACAATAGCGGTGTTTACTATTCTTTTGCCACACGTTTTGGTTCTCATGGCGGCGGCTCTCACGGCGACGGCTCTTACGGAAGATGAAAGCTACCTATTACGCTATCCACTTTTCACGTTTTTTCCACTGCCAATGAAGTATCATATATCAGTTGCGACTCAGCTTTAGATTATGATGGAAAGTATTACTACTAGCGATAGGTAGTATAATATCATTGGCGGAACTTGGCCGGCATGCAAGTTCGGCTCTCAATGCTCGGGGACGGCTATCATGGAAGGAATTCATGTCCACTCCAAGGCGGAAAATAGACTGCATTGGGAGATATCTCTTCTTCAATCTGGCATCTGGTTGAGAAAAGTCCCGTATGCTTCCAGGGTCATCGGGAATTGTTCCAGAAAGGCACTAGCAAAAAGGTGGTGGGTTAATGACAGATGCAAAGCAGCGTGGAGAATTAAGTAGAGGTCGCCGATATACCTTGTCAACGGCATCTCACCATAACACGGCATCTATAGACCCTTGACTTGATTGGTATCAACAAGACGGAAGGACCTCCGTTCCCTACAGTAATCGGTACCATGTCAGCTACTGTTAAGCGGGTCGGGCTATGACCGTGGGAACCCATGCTTCGAGACTATACCAAGGGTATTAAACAGACCACCTAGCAAAAGTGAAGTGACTACTCCTCTTGCGGTAGTGTGTATCTGTACCTATAAGCCCCAGTTCCACCAACAAAGGGCCATCATGTCAAACGGGTAGTTAAGCTTGATCGCCGATTAAACATGGGTTAGAGTATCATTGGTTTAAAGCTACAACTACTAATCAGTTCCCGACATTTAGTAATTGTTCGAGAATGTGGATCTAAGAACGCAGCTGCTGACAAAGAATGACTTGGACGACTCGGGAATCGAGTTATGACAAATCTGAATGTAAACATGTCCGAAGATAATGACTCTTTTGATGTTACATAAAACAATATGAATACCTGGAACACTCTCTGAGGAAACTCGAGCTAATTGATAACCTTGTCTCTGCACCCGGAACCCATAATTCTCATTGTTCGTCGATAAATGTGTATGAACCCTGTTTCGGCTTTTGTTCTATTTACTCTTTTAAGTAATTGATATCCCCCGGCTCTAGCCAATATGTCGTATTGATATAGCCTATCTAACGCTTACTTGCTTCTTCCACTTGACCTCCTCCACGGACAACTCCAAAACGCATATTATCTAACAAGTTGCTAGCAGCTTTGGAATCTGCAACGCAAGCGATTAGTTATCTGATCTAAAAAGGTTCATTGGAACTAGAGAAAGACCATCTTGACTCAACCTGGTGTGGCATGTAATTGTACTTACGTTTATAAACGCCACCATGGAAGCTTGCAGTAGCATCCTTGCCAATGTGTGCGACCAGGAGAGCTCTACCGCCCGGATGACTCTCAATGAATCGTTCAACATCATAGATGACCCCTGAGATACAGATCAAATGCCTGGAGCCGCCATGATTAATACAGAGAGCTTCGTACTCAGACCAAGAGTAGATAGGGAGTGTATCCGCCGGAGGGCCCCAATTGATTTGACACTTGAGCCGCTCGATCAGCTTCCATTTCTGTTGAAAAATGGCTTTGTTAATCTCATTAGCTTCAAACTCCTGTAGATGACTTGCCAAACCCAGCCAACCCCACTTTACATGATTAGCAACATTTCGGCATTTGAAAGTTATACATTGTTAATATACTCAAGCAGACTTACAAGCGATATACACCATTTAGTAGGGTCATAGTCAAACCACCTAATACCATTCCGGTAATCAGCGGGGAACTCATGGTGGAAGTTATGGTAGCCTTCTCCAAAGGTAACTAGCGCAGTGAAAATGTGATCCCTTGGCGATGTTGCATCTGCGTACGGCTGATCTCCGAGCCAATGTGCCAACGAGTTGACACAGTTAGTTGCCTGTTGGAAGAGGAATACTCGGATGATGCCGGCATAGAGAAGGCCGCCTAGTCCGTCGTTCCATCCAAATCTGGCAATAAGAAAAGGAAGAGCATAACTAGTGAAAAGGCACAGAAAGGGGAAGTTTCTGTGTTGCCACATCACTACTTGGTCCTGGAGCAAATCAGAAACCTCAACATGCCCTTTCGAGTCAGGATCAGGTTTGAAAATCAGCCATCCCATGTGAGACCACCATATGCCCTTGCTCACATTGTACGGGTCTTTTGGAGTATCCACATAACGGTGGTGGGCACGATGCATTTGGCACCAGTTCAATATTGAGCCCTGAACACTGCTTGCGCCAGCAAGTGCTAGAAAGAAGCTCAATTCTGGGGAAGCAGTGAATGATCGATGTGACCAGAGGCGATGATAACCTATTTTTCGTCAATTTCGTGAGATTGGCCTCGTACTCCTCGTGACTAAATCTTGGGAGCAGAATCATACTTACCAGCCGTGATACCAACGCCAGATATTATATATAATATTCCTCCCAAGATAAATGTTTGATGAGATAACAACTGGAAGAAGCTCCACAAGAATCCAATAAGAGGCAGAATGATACAGAAAGTAATGTTGTTCGGCTGTAAAGTAGAAAGAAAACGTCTACTATCGTAAAGAGTTTGCTTAAAGACTCTGCCGGTCTGGTATAAGATCCTTGGTTCAACGGCCATTGCGAGAAACAATTTTCCAGAAATTATGTTGAAACTAAAGAATAAGCGATTAGGATATTGTTCCCGAGTGTTCTTCAGTCTGGAGAGCCGTAAAATACGAGATACTCCGTGGTATTTGTTACAAGACGACGGGGTAGGTCAGCTTTCTTAAGTGATATGTCTTGGCTTATGCGTTCGGCGTAACGACTCATGCGATATACATCTTCTCCCCTGTCACGAATACAAATATTGACGCATTTCCAAACATCTACTCCACCACATTCCCTCCACCGCTCCCTCTCCACTTTGCCGCGCAATTATTTGTCTGGAGAAACCTGGAGCATTACGGTAGAATCGGCGTATCATTAAAGTAGCCCCTATCCGACGGGGGTTAATGATGTGCCGATATCTCATAAAATGACTCTGTCGGACTCCAACGCAAACTAATCAGCCCCAAGGATTCTGTCGGTGTTGTCTGTCACCTTAAGCGAAGTTACGTTAGGATTGTTAGGATCGATCTAGGTCCACTATGGCAGGTCGCTTGAAGAGGATTGTTCTTAGGATTTCAGCAATCCAAGAGACTGGATACTCGTAGTGCCAGCAAAGAGCCAATGGTTAGAATGAGGAGGTGGAGAATTACACGCGATGGAGTCCTCGGTTGGTCGTGATGCTTTAGATGACACTAGTATTGCACGCATCAATTTCCTATTTGGGTATTTGTAGTTCAAATAACTGTCAGAGGTCAATGCAGGGCTCAAAATTTCGAGATTTAAAAGGTGTCGTATTAATATTTAAACAGAGCGTTTTGTCTTGCGTCGATTTTGATTCAACCGCCGTTTCCCATTATTGTTTCCATGTGAACAAGAAATCTTGAGGACAAATTTAAGTCAAAAGTCCAAACTACCAGAATCAAGCCTTGTATGCACTATGGCAACAAAAACATTGAGCAAGCTGTCTTTGACAAGCTATAGCCTATACAATGCTGCCTCTGATTCCATTGCGAATTGGTCGCGCGGATTCATTCTGGCGGCTCTCAAGCGGATTACTATTGGCGAAATAATCATCAAGGACATTCCGGCAAATGAAACAATGCATTTTGGCAAGCCAGGGAAACTGTCGACTACTCTTACTGTTAATAGCAGCGCCATGTGGTGGAGAGTACTAAGCCGTGGTTCTCTTGTAAGTCAGGCGCTCAACAATCTGCCTCACTTATCCATCTCACGCTTTGATAGGGGTTTTCTGAAGCATACATGCTGAGCGAAGTGGACTGTGATGATATGACCAGTTTCCTTGAAGTAAGACGCCCAGCTCTTTCATCATAGCCCGCCGCAGAAGATGTCTAATCCATGGGTCCAGATCATGGTCTATAATCGAAATGACACCGCCGATATGAGGACTCCGCTGTCTTATCTAACTTCATCCATGGTGGGATGGGCTAGAGCGTCAAATAAGCCGCTAACGTCCCTGTCGAATGTGCAAGCGCATTATGATCTTTCCAACGACATGTTCGCCGCTTTTCTATCTCCCGATATGACCTACTCGTGTCCAAAGTGGCTCCCTGCAGATGATGCGGAAAGCATGACTGACAATCTGGAGAAGGCACAGATAAGGAAGCTGCAGGAAATTATCCAGCAGGCCAGAATCAAGGAAACAGACCATGTTCTTGAAATAGGAACCGGCTGGGGTAGTTTTGCCATTGAGGCTGTGAGATCCACTGGATGCCGCGTAACAAGCTTAACACTGTCCATTGAGCAGAAAGAAGAAGCAGAAGCAAGGATATCTGCTGCCGGATTTGAAAAGAATATTACGGTTCTCTTGAAAGATTACCGAGAGTTGCCGAAGCAAGGCCTGCTATTTGACAAAGTTGTATCCATTGAGATGCTGGAACATGTCGGCAAAGCACACCTCCCTGGCTATTTCGCCACGGTAAACGAGCTGCTGAAGAAGGAGGGAGGCATTGCCGTATTTCAGTCTAGTACAATGCCCGAGACGGTTGGTGACCCAATGACTCTATTCATGGAACAGTGGACTAACATACTCCCCAGCGCTACACGTCCTACGACAAGGGCAACGAGTGAGTTAACCCCCACGCGAAAATCCGTTGTCAATGCCAACTAACTCCTGCCCATAAGCTTCATTCGCCAATACGTGAGAAACATGGCGCTTTTGCCCCAATAGGCTAACGGACTCCAGCTGACATCTGTAGATCTTCCCGGGCGCACATCTCCCAACGGCAACGCAAATGGTGGAAGCGGCGCACCAAGGATCAGGCGGATCTCTCATACCGGACCGCTTGATTAACTTAGGCGGGCACTATAGCCGGTGTCTTCGGGGATGGCGCGAGAACTTTGCTGACAACTTCGAATCCCACATTGTGCCCGGCCTCATGGAGCGCAACGGAGGTATCACCAAGTCAGATATGGAGATATTTAGGAAAAAGTGGATGGTAAGCACTCTAATAACATGACACATGCAGACACGTTGCATCTTTTGGTAGCAGCTGAGCTCGCTTATACTTTGACTAACTTTTTACTTTCTGCGTTTAGTTTTACTTTTATTTTTGCGAAGCTGGGTTTAAAACGAAAACTCTAGGGGTTACCATGATTACTTTTGTGAGGGAGGGCTCGGTTGATACGTTGGAAGGTCTCGTGCAGTAGGAGGAAGCGTCTATTAAAGTATTGTAGTACTGTAGCATTCTAAGTTAGCGATGAATCCATCTTTCAAGTAACAAGATTCTCCTCTTTTTGAGTAATAAGACCTGTAACTGCCACTACAGGTAATTATCATTGATTGAGATGGACTGATATCTCTCCTTGGCGAAATCTCTCCACTCGCATCCTGTCGCTTAGCCCTATTGATCCTTCGCTCGCTCTCCGCGAATGAATTACCCTTTTGCAATAGGCCGAAAATACGTAGCAGGCTAAGCGGGTCAGATCCTTCTCTAGGAAGTCGGTGTCCAGCTCTGTACATTCGGTGCCGACGGAGACAAGATTAAGCTAGGAAATGGTCTAAGTCGGATTACTCATTGATGGACAGATCAGCCCCCAAAACCCTAGTCTAGGACCCTGCATGGAGGATCTAACAGGCGGAAACGAAGCACAACGGTTAGCGAAGAGGTCGGCATTCAAAGCAAAAGGCGATAAATAGAGATACCTGATTAGACTGGAACTGGTAAAGTACGAACTGCCAGAGTGGAATATGTGTGCTTGTCAGGCTACTGCAAATCTTCCTGTTGAAGGAAAAGTGCAAATACCAAGATCGTGATCCACGTTCAATGCTAATTGAATCTGCATACAACACGGCAGAATATTCGCCATAAAAATCGCTCTATGTATCAAAGATCAATTCCTGCTCTTTTCTTCTTCTTCTTTTTGAGAAGTTCAAATGTTATAACATCAGGTACCTAAGAACGTCGTTCTGCTCCACTAAGCCATAGATGACTCTTGTAAGGCTCCCACTCCAGTCCGTAACCAAACCTCGACGTATGCATGCTTACGAGTGGCATGGATATGAATTGCTTGGCTTCGCAATCATGCGTTCCCCAGGGGACCTCGAAGATATGGGGTAAAAGCGACAAGTTGCGGGACATGACAAGGATTGACAAATTCAACGCGACCACGGTTCAGCCCTAGCTATATGCGAGGGGGCGCGAGGTTCGCTCCAGTAGAGCAATCTGGGTGATGGAGGAGATAAAGCCCATGATGTTTTTTGCCCGGTTCGTAGTGTACGAGAGTGGGTTTCTGCAATACTGGAGGGCACTTATACTAGTGCTCTTTTAGTTTCTATATTCGCGCCAACGTAAATCATAATATGACACGGGTGATGCTAAAGAGCATTGCAGAAAACCGTTGCAAGTGTCCATGGATTATACCCGCCAAGTATATCCACTCTATCACAAAAGTGCAGACTGAGCAAGGAGCATAATCTGGCAGTGTGCTTCTCGGCCTTTTATCCCTCGGGCTTTGCGTTGGAATTGATCCTTGAACTCCGTTCAAACCCATGTTAGCTGATTACTATTCTCAGGGTAGCTCGACGTATTGCAAATATTACCAACGGTAGTGATATGGCTATGTTCCCCCCGTAGTATACAACGTAGTCCCCTGTTGTCTACTTCTTTTGATACCCCTTACTTACCATGAGCAAGGGATCGATCAAGGCAAGAAGATTCATTCTACTAGCTGCTGATCATGATAAGTAACAACCTATGCACACCAAGCCAAGAACAGCTTAAAGAAGCGAAGTAAGGGGGAATATCGGTATTACTATTACGCCCCTTCGCCAAATTGCCCTACAGTCTCATAACAGCTAGGAATTCACAAGGATCATGTTTGCCTGCTTTCAGTATGCGATTAGGTAACATAAGCATCATGTCATACCTCAATGGGATTTGCGTGATCACCGGTTTATCGCCATGAGATATCAGCACTTGTGTAGATGACTGCCTTGATCTGCTCATCTCTGCTGAAAAGAATCTTAATTTATTTTCTAGCACATGAAATTTATAACAAGTTACTTAGTGCCAGTTCCTTACCATTTTACACTTCTTTTATAGGAGCTTTTATTGACACAATTGAACGTTACGTTAGATCTCACTCAAGTTTCACTGACATTTTCAGCCAATAACGTGTTACCACCAGAAGGATCATATCCGACATGATATGTACTCGATGGCCACGCAACTTTTATTGGTCAGTGCATAAGAAAATAATTACATAAAGCAGGCCCATTCACCTCATAGAGTCTGCCAATAAGGCTTCTGAACGGTATTTGTAGCCATCTCTTAGCAAACTACGCAAGCGAGGATATTGACGAAAGGACGATGTCACGATAGCGTCGATGTGTACAAATAGCATTTTCAGATTAAATAAAGTACGTCATGGAACCAAGAATACAAATGCTTTAATAATGGCACTGTAAATCGTCGCTTCGCTTCGCTCACAGCCCCTTTTCTTAGAGCACTCCGTGAACGGCGTGGATCCCCCAAACTTTGACAAAGTATCCAAGGAAGGAAGTCAGCTTGCCATTTGCACTCTCCGTAGAAGAGCTCCAAGTTAGTCTCTGGATAGAGTTTTCACTACTTTCGTTTCAGATCTCGACGAGATAGCGTTCGGTCCGAGCCAGCCACAATGGCGCGGAAACAGGTACAAGTCCATCCAGAAGAGGTTCGAGCTTCAACAGCCAGTCCGATTTTGTAATAATGGTGGACCATAATCTAGGCGATATGGCCATCATTTAGACGCTTGTAGGCTAAGTAGATTGATAAGTACAGACCAGGAGTATTACCTAGTGGTGCTTGGTCGCGGTGAGATGTATCCTAATTCAGGCAATGAACCTAACTCTAATTCATGAGCTTTACTTCCTCTTTGGATCACCTGGGAGCAAATAGATTTAGTCAGGCAGTCGAGGCAACGATGATTTCATCTCAAATCTTGGACCATCGCATACGATTATTGACGCCCATCTTACATCAATGACCTTTCAGTGGATGTCGGTGGCTTCATGTAGGCATCTCCGCAACCGCTATAAAAGCTTCAGCATTTCGTAAAAATAGTTATCCAGGCCGTCACGCGGCTGTTTCACGCCATGGGAAGCCCGGGTTTCCAACAATGTCTCATCAGATTGGTGAAATAACGGTCGACAGGGAACCTGCAAACTCCACTCCCACAACAAAAGAAGCGAACGTGGAAACCACCGGGCAGGCTACAGCCATAGCTATCGCAGAAGCGGATCTCGTGCCCTCTTTGAAGAAGCTACTTCAAGAACACGAGCTGGACCAAAATTTTCCCCGGGATATCCTGGACCGAATTCGAGACTTTCTCGAAAAACAAACGAGCCATGATTCAGCGACGGACCTTGAGTTGGCGCGGACTCTCCATGACGAGTGCCTCAAGCAGATAAACTTGGCATTAAACAATTCGGCATATCCAGAAGTACGCGCCGTCGTCGACCCCACCGATGATCCCACATTGCCGGTAGCGACGTTCCGAGTGTTCTTGCTGGGCACAATATTCACCGTCCTCGGTACCGCAATTCAGCAGTTCTTTTCGTTCCGCATGCCAGCCATCAATATCACGACATATATCATTCAGCTACTCTCCATGCCCCTCGGCGTAGGCATGGCCAAATGGCTGCCTCGTCGAACCTTAACCATAAGACACTGGACCTTTTCCCTGAACCCAGGTCGTTTCAACGAAAAGGAACATCTTCTCATCGCCATCATGGCAAATGTAGCCTTTGCTGGGTATATGCATGGAGCATACATTGCAAGCCCCATTCAAGTTCTTTCACTGGATCGCTTTTACGGAGAAAAGGTTCTCTCTAATAGTTCTGCGTGGCAAATCACGACTTTCATTGCTACACAGATGCTTGGTTACGGCTGCGCCGGCATCAGCAGGAGATTCCTTGTTTCTCCCCCTTCAATGATATGGCCGCGGCCCCTTGCCAGTATTGCCCTCACAAAAGCGCTACATAAAGACGATGCCGATAAGGAGGCGCAGAATGCACCCAATGGCTGGACGATTTCGAGATACCGCTTTTTCCTCATCTGTTTCTGGGCCATGTTCGTGTGGTACTGGTTCCCAGACTACATTTTCCAACCTTTTGCTCTGTTTAACTGGCCCACATGGTTTTCTCCCAGCAATGTTAAGCTCGCCATAATCATGGGCAGTTCTTGCGGGCTGGGGCTGAATCCTCTGCCAACACTTGATTGGAATGTTTCGACTCACTTTGGAGATCCAATTGTCACGCCCCTCTTCACAATCGTCAATTGGGCCTCCGGTATGGCTTTCATGGGACTCGTCATAGCACCAATCGTATACTTCACCAATGCATGGCACTCTGGCTATCTTCCCATCAACTCAAACAAAGTCTATGACAACTCTGCAAACCTGTACGATATACAAAAAATACTCAACGCCAACATGACACTCAATGAAGACAAGTACAATGCCTATAGCATCCCCTGGCTATCAGCAAACATGATACTCAAGCTCGGCGGCTTTTTCATTCTTTATGTGGCTGTCCCTATACACATGTTTCTGTGGCATCGGAAGCAAATCATACAGAGCCTTCGATCGATATGGGACCGTAAGACGCGCGAAGAAGAGTTTAACGATGTGCACAACACATTGATGCGAAAGTACGACAAGTGTCCCGACTGGTGGTATCTGATTGTTGTCGCCATAGCGTTTGTACTGGCATGCATATCTGTGACAGTGTGGCCAACAGGTATGCCTGTTTGGGGTGTTCTGATAGCCGTACTCTTCACAGCCTTTCTTCAGATTCCCTTTGGCATGCTCACAGCAATTACCAATATCGAGCTACCAACAAGTATCTTGTCACTCTTGATTGGAGGCTATGCTTTGGAAGGGAAAGCCATTCCGAACATGGTTTTCATGCTATACAGCTATGTGTCTACCTCGCAAGCTATGAATTTCGTGGCTAATCTCAAAATGTCGCATTATGCTAAAATACCGCCAAGGGTAGTCTTTGCCGCTCAAGTCTACGCCACTCTCATCGCGGCGTTGGTTGCTTTTGCTGTTAATCGTTGGGTTCTAACTAATGTGAATGATTTATGCTCTGAGCTGCAAAGTGAGCGGTTTTCTTGCCCCCATACGCATACGTACTTCATGTCATCGATTCTCTGGGGCGTTGTCGGCCCTCGCAGGCTGTTCGGACCAGGAGGCCCCTACCGCGCTATTATATATTGTATTCCACTCGGCATCATTCTTCCAGTTGGTGTGTATTTTGCAGCAAAACGCTGGCCTAAATCTTTCTGGCGGAGCGTGAATGTGCCCATCTTGCTGGCTGGCCCATTGGGATGGGCTCCTTATAACTGGAGCTACATGCAAGGCACGCTGTCGTTGGCTTTGTTTTTCAATTTTTACATCAAGAGGTGGTATAGACCCTGGTGGGACAGATATGCATATGTATTAACGAGCTCGTTCACGTCGGCGATTGGGATTTCGGGCTTGGTGATACTTTTTGCATTGCAGAAATGGAACGTCAGATTGGACTGGATTGGAAATAAAATAGCATGGCAAGGGGTAGACAGAGGGGGATATGTGGATGTTGATGGGCAAGTTGTCAGGTGTACCAATTTGGTCTTGGAGTCAGGCGAACGGTTTGCATAGATGGAATAGTGCTCTATAGATTAAGACTTCCAGCTTACATCACATGAGTGTTCAAATGCCTCTTGTTGACAGGTTCAAAAGATATGGTTGGGCAAATCTTCATTTCTATGGACAAAATAGCAATGGTCCAATAAATCAAATTCTTCCACAAAAATATAGCCTTGTTCTTGGAGCGTAAGTTCTACGGGTATAGCATCCGCGTCGTCAGCTGCAACACACACATTCTCTAGTTTGCACTCAGCGAGATTGGCATCCATCGGCGTTATACCCGACGGAACTATCGTAGTTGGCGAGAACTATTCGCCAGGTTGTTGCGCCAGAATCGTTCGCGTCGCGCATATAAAGGTTCCCTCTTGCGTCGGTTGCTGCGATGAACGCTCCTGACCTCGATTCTGGAAGAACGATGAGTTGGTACTGGCGGTCTGGGGATCCGGGGGACCGAATCCCGTGCAGCCTCTTCTCATGATCAGTCCGGGCTGATGTTTAAACTGTTCTCATGCTTTCTCACCTTCGTTTTTTTTTATAAAGGTACCCAGATACAGGTCGAAGAGGAGACGGAATTCTACTCCCCAACATTCACCGAGTGCAGCACAGCGAACACACGGGTCCAAGAAAACTCGAGAAAAAAGTCAAATAGGCCGAAAAAGAGTAAGGCGAAAGCTACGGCAAAGAACAGGCCTATCTGTGCGGCGCTGTTGCAGATCTCGACGTGGCCTTCTTCTAGCCCTGCTGCGCCGCAGTATGCTTTGGCGAGGGAGTTGAGCGTGGAATTATCGAATTCGTCGAGCATTTTGGATGATTGCGGTTTGTTGGTGAAGTAGATGATGATGGTAGAGTTTTATCAAAATAGCAAGAGCTGCTGTTGGATACAATCAGGATTATGAGTAGTATGCAGTGTATAGTAGAAAGAGAGATCATATGAGAGTGGCATCAGTTACAGCGAAGCACAGTCTATAAGTGATACTGGTAGATTTGACTTTGCGTTGACGCGTCCATTGTCCTACCCACAAGTTAAAGTATTTGCTCATCTAAAATTCTTGGTTTGGCCATGAGTACAACGATACATTTACCCACGCCGAAGCTACGTAGCTACGGATTAGACTTTTCGTAGACTGATACACTGACTCATCTGGCCCAAAAGTAGATATCGCAGCTCAAATGATCATTCAAGCGCCTTTACGTTCAGACATTAATGTCAAGTCAGTAGAGTGGAAGTAGAGGCCGGAAGCTAGAAGCTAGAGGTTGGAAGTGGCAGAAATAGCAGAGAAAAACCACATAAACATCCATAAATTAACAATATTAGCCATCATTTGAATGCCCTTTTATGATATCAATGCGTTTTGTTAACCCTTAGCTAAGAGATACGTCGAGCTTTTCCAGTTCTATGATTAACATCCCCAGCAGCATGTTAGCATCGAGGCTGTCGACGAATGTCACTTCTCACTCAAAAGCGGCGAATGCTACGTTGCCGTGCGGTTACCAACCAAGGGCTTGGAGGGCAGTATAAAGTATTTGTCCGAGGAGTGCTTGTTGTTTTGGATGCCGTTGACTGTAACCGGCGTCGCTCCTGTTCGGTCCTCGAGAGTGGGATATTGCTTGAGAAGCAATCATAAATTCACTCAAACTCAATACAACAGCAACAATGACAAACGTCGCTATACTCTGGACACACACTCGGCAGAGTCTACAACCACAACTCGCAGTCCGAACCATCCATGCCCAAGCAATTTTCCAATGAAGGATTCTTGTACCCTAGAGCGACACCACAGGTCTTGGAGTCATCTCCAATGGACAAAATACACCCTCACATACATTTACCAATTCCGGACCGACTGAAACGCCTCGCCATCCTCAGAAGCGAATATTGTGCCTCCCGGGCCGGTATTGATTTGGAAACTCCGCTGACGCAGAACGGGCCATCCTCCAAATTGCCATCCCCCAAGCAAGCTGCGACAATCTCATCGACAAGCTCAAAGAAGCACACGCCAACGCATCAAGACCGCCAAATATACTCCATTCGAAGCGCACAAACAACAAAACACCCGCCCTTTCATACACATCATACTAGAAAACACGAAGCTAACCTACAACAAAGAGGACGCAAATAAATTCGTCGTCGTACGCACTGGGCTTACGACGGCAACTCATTCGTCAACATAGGCGCTTTCACCATGGCTGTTGGCTCATTCTACAACAAAGGAGGATTGCACCTGAAAAGACTTGGTCGCTGTCTACGGCCTCGCTACTGATGCTGAAATCTGAGCGTTGGGAGGCCGTTATTGATTCTATATTTAACCAAAAAAGAAAACAGAGAGTTGGGTGATCAACTAACGATCTTCAACTCCTACAGGATCGCACCGCCACGGTGGGGGGAGGCGATCCGTAAACAGTTACAAGGGGGTTGCTTTTTTATTGGGCACTTGACTGTATGTTCGCTCTCCTATTTCTGTAATTGTTGGGAGTTGCAAAGGGGCACGGAGTGAAATGAAACGTCAAACAGTTGCCAAACTCAGTTTCTTCATTCAAGCTGAGGCAAGCCAAGGCTATGAAACCCCAAAGCTACAGTAGATCCAACATGCTGGGACTGTTGGCAGATAGGGGAATAGGAAAACGTACCCCGAACAGTTTTGAAACAGCCATTAATGAATTTGTGGAGGCGCGCGTCAAACCGCGATCTGGAAGTGGCCAGGGCGGCATCTCCCGCCACGACGGAAACGGTCAAGACAGGCCGGGGTGCACGGGCATGTTGGATCTGGGGCTGAGACACAAAGTCGATTGTATTGCTGTTGCATTGTTCGATTGTCTTTCCGCCTTTCATGGAATGTTCTCTTCACTGCAAGCCGGCCATTATCTCTTTCTTGTCTTGCTTATTCCTTTCAAACCGGCATCACCCAAGCAATGGGCACTTTAACGTGTGGCTGGGGCAGCGTGGGCAACACGTTTTCACTTAAACTCGCATTCCAAACCTCCAGAGGAAAAAGAAAGGTGACGAAAACAAGCCATTTCACCAAAAAAAAAAGTTCAAATATTGAACATGACGAGAAAAGCTTTTCTGTGCGGTAGGCTTTCCTCCAAATGGAGGACCAAGTGACCCAGCGGAAGGCGTCCGAATGGCTCGCGCTTCGGCAAAAGACGCAGCTTTGCGACGACGGGTCAGATGAGAGGCCCCCAAGGCGCACAAATATGGCCACCAGGGCTGACTGCCCTTTGATCAGAATAAAGAAGAAAAAAAGAGGGTTGCCGAGACAGTATAAAAAAAAGACAAGAAGGCCGACCGAGCAACTAGTTAGTGGTTGTGTCTCAGTTTAGGTATGGCATGCAATATAAAACCACCAGAAGACAGTACAAGGGAGGAGGGGCGTGTGGAAACGATAACGACGGCCGGATATGGAAATCGGTTGGTCTGCACACCCCCTTTTTTGTCGTCCTGAGGTCCGTCCTTGCATGCATGAGGAACGGAGACAATAGGACTGAGTGTTTGCTTTGTCTGTAACGAATTAGTTGCTGTTGGGTGAATGGGCGAGCGAATCAGGGACTGTAGTAGGTGAGAATGTGAGAGGAAAGTGGAGAAGGGGAGTGTAGAAGAATAGTATGGAATGGGGGACAAAAGAGAAAGATTGAGAAAAGAGAGTAAAAGTTGTCACTATGCACATAGATACAAGCCATGATTGATATCGGGAGACAGAAATTATCGTTGTAATTTTCGCTTCGCGTATTCCGCTCAGCTCCCAATATTCGGTGCCTACTAGGTGCTGTAGAGAGGCCATGCAAAGAGGCCGCCCTTGCTGAGCATTCCAAAAATGGAAGAAGGCTTCAACAAAACAGCGTGATGGGGATTGGGGGCCGTTCTGTGCAGAGCGCCACAGCTGGAGGAATGGCGAATAGACAAGCCCGGTTGAGTGCTGACGATGGGTCCGGGATGTACAGGCAGTCGCTTACAGACGGCGACGAGTGCCTGTGCTTACGGAGTGCGAATCGAGGAAGAGAGCGAAAGTGTCTTGTAGCAGAGCAGAAATAGACTGTCTGCGCAAGCTCTGCTCCGAATGTCGCGAGCTTACGACAATGTGCGTTTTGTTTCATCCCGGGTAGGGGGTGTGGTTGTCAGAAGCAGACAGGACGGCAGACAAAGGACATTTTTGTTGAGCTGACAATCATTCGAGATGTGGTGCTTTGCAAAGGAAGCTTTGCTTCGTAATAATCACCACGTTGCAATAGAGCATTGGATTCTTGGCGGCGCCGTTGCCCATCTTGATAGTCGTCTTCTGGCATGCTTGATGTAAATCACAGGTTTGAGCTGGCGGTGATGCCCACAAGCCAATAGATACCCCGGTCTAGCCCGCATCCTCTCGCCACTCTCAAGGACATTCTGTTCTATATGTGTCCTGTACGAGTGCTAGTTAGTTGGTGATGGTCATGGGGACTAATGCACAAAAAATAGAGTCCCGGAAGCAGGTTGTGCGTCACCGCGGTGAGACTCGTGAGGGAGAGAGAGCCGAGGGGGGTCCTGATAGCGCTTGTCGACTAATGATTTCGCTTGGATAAGAGGCCAGGCACTCGTATTGACTGGACGGGAATAGGCAGACGCGCTTGAGCTTGGCGAGGCGAATGTGTCATTCGTCATTTGCTCGCGATGGCTGTGGGTGGAGGGTTGGCTGGTGGATGTGGATGGGGTCCCATGACGCTTTTCGTTCCCAGTTTAGGTCGCCCAGATTGATAATCGCAGCGAGTGTGGACAATCAGTACGAGCGAGCATTGACGACGATGGTTACTAGCTTGGCGATTCGTCGCGTCTAGGACTTTGGGCGGATTCTGGCGAGAAGATATCGTCATGATGGCAAATTTCGTGGATGCGGGTATAACGCGAGAAGCCGAGATGAGGCTCTGTGCGGTGGGCAGGTGTCTGCACGTCAGTGAGGCTGTGGCCCGCCGGCTGGACATGCCGCGATCGGGTGTCGCCATGTGTGTCGCCATAGGTGCAGCATTCGGTGAACCGGTGGCCTCTCGCGTGGGCATGACGAGCATCGAGCGAGGCTGTGAAGCTGAAACGAGGTGAGCATGGCGATGGTGTTGCGAACCAAGAGCCGGCAAACTCCAGAGGGAGGCTGTGACGGGCAACAGCGATAGCGATAGGGCCTAGTTCTGGCTCCCCTGTAGTTTAGGGACCTGGTAGCGAGGCAGCCCACAAAAACTGGGCGACAACTGGAGACGTGGGCCGGGCCAGGCAGCACAGCCCAAGCGGCTGAAAATGCACAGCGAGCGAAGGAGCCTGGAGTCTTGAGTTGGTGGATTAGTTTGGCATGTGGTTGGCCTATGACGGCGATGGCGAGATGCTGGTGGGTGCATCTGCATGTGTCGTCTTGTCTGCAGAATGTTGGTGTCCTTGGATGGACCTCAATTGCATGCATTTCCAAGAGATGCCTCAGGTACCAGTCGCCACTGATTCGTCCTATTGGAATCAAATGTTAGTGCTGTAGCGGTGGCTCTGGTGCAAGCGCTAACATGCAGCGCCCGGGCGCGGACCGCAGCCACTGCCTCGCGGCGTCTCCCGCCACTGGAGCAGCTGCCAGATTCTTACTGGCGCCTGTCGTAGGACTTGAAATGCTGTGGCCTGCTCACCCACAGTTTGGGGTCTGGCGATGGCATCACTCAATCGAGCTCCGCTTCCATCGTGCCGATCATGGATCATGGATCATGGGCCAGTCCGGGCCAGTCCAGGCAGACTGGGCGGCAGAACTGGCTACTGCTGCGAAGCAGAATTGCAACCACCAGCCGGGGCCATCTCCAGTCCTA